GTTTTGTGGTTAGGGAAGGAAACAATATAACAAAGATTTATTATTTGAGATATATAGCTTTACACGCATATTGGTCGTTCAAATAAACTTTTTTAATTATTTTTTATGTCGATTGCATTGTAATCACGCATTATATTCATTTAGAAATGTCTATCTCGTAGAAAGAAGAACCCTTAAGGTATGAATCAACAAATCAGCTCTATACCGCTCTTGACTGTATCTATTACCAAGACTTCAAATAATAGTTGTATATTGTATTTACTTCTTATTATAAACCGACTTTAAAAAGGGCGTGGTTCTTAATGCGACTGTTTTTTTATGTATGTTACGTGATATCTTCGGCATTTATAAACCGATATTGATGATTTTTTTTTGTTGGAAAGAGCTTTCCTCAGTATTGGTCCTCAAAAGGGTGGCAAACTAGGGGATGAATACGGTTTCACACACTATCCGGTAACCAATTTCAATAAAACTTATTCACTTAGTAGATGTAATTCCACGAAATTTTGAGGTCGGTTTCTTTAGTACTTTGTACTGAGATTATCATCTTTCGTTTTACTCCCATTGCTATAGAGTAAAAACATACGAAATAAATGTCGTCTGAAAAGAAGTTGTATTAATTTTCATGTTTTTTCATGCGATCTTAAAGAACCATTTGCCGTTTTACTTTTAGAACACCTTAACATTAAGTTACTTATAAATTACATAAATATATTGAATGACTTTTTGAACGACGCCTAAGTATACGAATTTCGGTTCTTCCAATGAAATGAAATATAGAAAACAAAAAAAAAATAAGTCCAGATCTAAGCGTTCCTACTAATGTGCAAATTGTTCTTAACGAGTGACATAATCAATCAGCGAAACAAAAGGACTTGCACATACTATCCATCGCGCCAATAGAAGTCGGAACCATACCTTCTTCCAGCTACTATCTAGGTACAATAACTTCTATCAAATAACAAATATCTATAGTTAGCTATCAAAAGAGTTAGTTAGTTATATTTATACTGTTCATATAGCTTTTCGCTTAAATAAAACCTTTTTATAGCTGCAACAGAAGAATCGGCTTTACGTTGTCCGGTTCACGATTGACCAAGTAATAAACCAAGAAAGATTCATTATTGCCACAAGTTCGTGGGTCAACATTTATTACGCCGTCGGCATATTAATGATCGCAGTGGCTTTAGATCAATCATTATGATATTCTTTCATGTCGGACCCTGCCGGGGCGTGGCGGGAGTTTTTCAGGCTTTGATCCTTATTGACGTCAGAGAAGTTGATAGACCACGAGGTGAGATAAAAGAAACAACGGAAATAAAGCTGAGATTATACGTTACATACGTAATAGTTTCCATCCTATACGGTATTCTTTGTGATTTAAATAAAGGTCTGAGTGGCACTGCAACTGCATCTATTATGGACAGGCGTGTCGCTTACCGCCAGGCGCACGACTTCTTCGTTGGGTCACTTGGTATCATAAAAAAGCTGGATCGGGGTGAGCCGGCCAAGCAATAAAAGCTAACATCGCCGCGCAACTAACTGTGGTGTCCTCCCATAGTACATGTTTTATAAACCTGAACTGGCTCTCGACAAGTATCAAGATAATGCTAAAGCATCCTAATTGAATATATCAGTGCAAAAGTGATGTAACCCACAATAATAATTGATTTAAAAAAGTATTTGGTTTCTACAATATTATATATTACTTTAAATGATACTAAATTATGATTATTTTATATTTTTATGCTATTTTCAATTTCTATAAATAATTATATACTATTACTATATTGGTCGAATCGAATCAGTGAGAATATCCGCAAGAATTCATAAGAATTTGCAAAACTTAAGTGGCAATGGGCAGGGCACATTGCTCGCAGAACAGATGGCCAATGGGGCCGAAGAGTTCTCGAGTGGCAATCACGTACCGGTAGACGCGGCGTGGGCAGACCACCCACAAGGTGGACTGATGATCTGGTGACGGCTGCGGGAATCCGCTGGATGTACTAAGCGGCCCGGGACTGGTCGTTGTGACATTCTTCGGGAGAGGCCAATGTTCAGTAGTGGACATCTTTTGACTGAAATAATGATGATTACTTTTATATGTAATAAAATAAATTTGGCTAAATTTAAATCCCTCATTAATTTCTATATGCATTCGATGCGGTTACACCACGTTTGCGCTGAATGCCTCAATATTGTAAGTTATAGTTTCGGGCCCTTTACAGGTCCCATGGTCACGGTTTGTTTAAAAAAACAAATATACGCGATTTAAATCCGGAAAAATAGTTTTATTTCCTAGGTGTAACAATCGCGAAAACCTAAGAACTCGATACGTAAAGTACGTTATACCGCCCTATGGAATTATGGATTTATAGTATTATATTTTATACTATATTTTTATGTGTAACTAGTAATTGCTTTACTACAGAGCAGTAATGAGTTTGTATTTGTAAGTAAAAATATTCATACCTAATGAAATGGAGATATCATCCAGTCTATGTGTCTTACTTGAAGTTTAGGTTAGTACTATGCCCATTCCGATTTCTGTTAATTAATTCTTTCCACAAGAGTCACAAGCGATGGATTATCTTTCCTCGGTTCCACCAGATCTAAAGGTTTAAATTGACGGCGATGGCTTTCAACATTTTGTCCTGAAAAACAGTTGCAGCTAATCCCTTCACCTAATACGGCCCAACACAAACAAGAGCACCGTAAAACGCACCCTTTGCCTACTCTACTCTACCTGACCATCTTTAAATATTACGCCGCTCTCTTGGCGATAAAATTATCCGAATATTTATTTGGTACAAAGACCAGAAAACGCATGTGAAAATACCATTTGCAACTTGACAGTGTGTACTTGCAAAACATAGACAGGTAGGTACACATATTTGTTTCGGTAATTGGCACGCCTCTATAATACGATTACCGTTTTAGTACACTAAATAAGTACAGGTACAGATTTTATTACAGAGCTGGTATTTTGATATTAGTTAATTACTACATTAGGTACGTCGACAAGATCAAACTCTCGCAAAATACACAACAGACAGTCTAACAATCACCACTAATGAGTTAGAAGTCTTAATTAAATTGAAATGTATAGATGATATAAGGCGACCAATCAATCAATCCGGATGAATTAGTTTCTGAAGTTTGAGTTTTAGTTTCGAATAAGTTAACTCGGGTTAAGGAGGATGAACATTGTCCGCAATACTTTAGAACAATTTAAAATCAATATAATCTTTGTCAATAACAGTTCTACTTAATTGTAGACTTCGTTTATAAGATCGTACGTGACAGACATTATTATTAGACAGACACGCCTTTGGGTTCCCATGTAGGGGTAAGGCAGAGCTTTAAGTGACACAGTGCAACTATAACCACATCTGGCAAATCTTTGGGTTAAGATTGTATACAACCTTGTGTGACGTAGTGCATCATAGTGACAGGTTGCCAGCCTGTCGCCTACATATAGGACAAACCTATTAAACCCAATCCCTCAGTCGACTTTTACGACTTGCGCGGGACGATAAGCAGCTGATAGCTTCTATGTTTCTCTTTTGGTTCCAGATCAGCGGGAACTGCATGGACATTAAAAATATTAAGCATTATTGAGGTTTAATGTGAAATAACTCTAGTAGTTTTATTAATACAGTTAGTTATTAATACAAAGGTCGAACACAGAAAAATTTCTTCTTTGACGCGATGGGATTTGAATACAGGACCATGCTGCACCGTAGCGTTACTCTTACCAACTGAGCCACAGGTCAAGCTACCGGGCTGTCGAAATGCTCCTATGTGGTTTTGTTCTGGATCTTTGTGTTGGTTTTCGGTATTCGTCACCGCTAGTGACATCTATTGAGAGATTTTTGAAAACGAACTAAGGGAAGAGCAATGCTACGGTACAGCCTGGTCGTGGGTTCAAACTCCACCGGCTCGAAGAAATTTTCCTATGCATTCCATCTTTGCATTAATAATCGTTAAAAATATTGTTATGGTATTATACCTACTATGCTCGTCGTAACTTTAAACTAACGGCAGATCAACTCTGTGTTGCAGTGGATAGCTTATATCTATGGTTCTTCTGCTTATAGGAAAAAGATAAATTGTCGTTATGTATCGAATTCTTAGTTTTTCGCGATTGTTACACGTTTCGGACCCTTTACAGATACCATAGTCACCGCTGAATGACTATGGCACCTGTAAAGGGCCCGAAACGTTGGTTTGTTTGAAACAAAAAACAAGTACACGCGATTCTCCGAAAAGATTTCATTTCCAATGTCCTTTAGTTTTTTTTTCTAATAAATAATGTACAACAGCAAAACCTTTGCTAAGTAATGAAAAGGAACCAAAAACAAGTATAAATTTAGAATTAAAGATAGAAATAGGTTAGATAAGTAGGGTACCTACATGCTACGATTTCCTTCTTATCCTAATATTATGTATTGCCTCGAGTATTATTACTGTAAACATTTTGTTTCCACAAAATCACGCATTTTTTCATTTTCCGTAGTAATTAAACAACTTGTACCGAATGTCGCGCCGGCTCCGAAGGTAAGCTTTGAAGGACCAAAGTCGCAAAAATCTTTAAGTTACACTCAAAATTCTGGAAAAAAGTAATGAGCGGCAAAAACATCAGAGATTTAATGATTTTCAAGAATACTTACTTGTAAATTAAGAACTGGTGATACGTGACTAAAATGCTTGCGTTGAGTAGGTAGGTAGCTGTAAACTTTTACTTCGTTTCCAGTAGGTAGTTAAGTTTGCTTATGAAACCACAACATCGTCTAATGCCACTTGTCAGTTTCCATAACTCTCGACACTTCTGTACTTTGGACCGTCTTATAGTAGGTGGTATAGAGTTGAATGTAATCAATACTAAGAATGCCGTTGTTTGTTACCATCCTTTTTATTATAAAAGTTTGTTAGATTTTTTTCTCAAAGTTGCTCCTATTTTTTTCTCAAAGTTGCTCCTTAATATGTTTGTTATCCAGATGTCGATCGCTGCGGACCCCGGGGAATATCCTGGTAGCGAATTTAGCGCTCAGCGATTTCCTCATGCTGGCCAAAGCTCCTGTCTTCATCTTCAACTCTTTCAATCTCGGGCCTGCCTTGGGAAAAACGGGTGAGATATGAAAACTAAAACTTTCGAAAAAGATTTACGAAACACTAAGTTAATTAGTCGTTTGAAATGTTTATATTCTATGCCCTGCGGTAGGTACTTTAAAACATTTTATCATTTCAGGCGTTTTTTTTATTTTTGTTAGTGATTTTTAAATAAATTATCTATCATTGTAAATAATAATCTAGTAGCTTCGGTTTTGAATTTTGGTGTAGAAATTCATTACTTTGCCTATCGTTTAAAACGCTCTTCCGACGCAAGTTTTAGTTGAAATAGGTACTCAAATAAGAGAACTTTGTAAGATCAACGTAAATCAATTTTACAAAGTTACAAATGAATCTCTTTTTTAACCGACTTCAAAAAAGGAGGAGGTTCTCAATTCGACTGTATGTTCTTTTTTTTTCTTTTTTTTTCTTTTTTTTTTTGTATGTATGTTACGCGATAACTCCGGTATTTGTGAACCGATTTTCATGATTCTTTTTTTGTTGGAAAGAGGGTACCTCCATAGTGGTCCCATTTCATTTTGAAGAAAATCATCCACCTCAGAGGGTGGCTGTTCACGCATGAAGATTCATTTTTATAAATAGCGCCAACTTTAATTTAGGAGCAATTACTTTTAGCAATTATTTAGTTGATTTTGCTATTTCTCTAATTCAAGGCGTTTTTCTCTCGATATACTTTGAGTAGTGTCGTAGTGAGAACCTATTTTTATTATCTCCAATATCAAGTCCTGTATAGTGGCGAACTAGGGGATATTTCAATGAAACTTAGCAAATAGACGTAATTCCACGTACTTATGAGGTCGGTTTTTTTAGTACTCTGTACTGAGATTATGTTCTTCAAATATGTTTCATGACAGATTATTTGACGATGGATGACTGAAATGTTGACATTAATTGTTGTGTAACAATTGTTTCAGGTTGCTTAATTTATGGTTTCGTCGGTGGACTGACTGGCACTACGTCGATTGCCACGCTGTCCGCCATCGCTATGGACCGTTACTGGGCAGTGGTGCGGCCGCTGGAAGCAGTGCGGGCGCTGACCGCCATTCGAGCGCGGTTGCTGGCTGTCGGCGCCTGGATCTACGCATGTATCTTCTCCATCATACCAGCACTTGACATCGGTTACGGTCGCTACGTCCCCGAGGGATACCTTACCAGCTGCAGTTTCGATTATCTGACAGAAGATGCACCACCCAAATATTTCATTTTCGTGTTTTTTTGTGCAGCCTGGCTGGCGCCCTTCTGCACTATATCATTTTGTTACTTAAGTATATTTCGTGTAGTAGCTTTCGACAGAAATATTGCCACCAAAAATCAGGAGCACCGACTCTCTTCACGTCATGTTAAAGAACAGGCCAAGCGAAAGGCTGAAATAAAACTAGCAGTTCTTGTTATAGCTGTTATAGCTATGTTCTTTATATCATGGACACCGTACGCCGTGGTCGCTCTGTTGGGTATATTTGGCAGGAAGGATCTGATTACGCCCTTATCTTCCATGATACCCGCATTGTTCTGCAAAACGACCGCATGCATAAACCCATTCATTTACATAATTACTCATCCAAAATTTCGAAAGGAATTTAAAAAAATGCTATACATGGACAAGTCCAAACGTATGAATACTATGAAGACGCTTGGCTATGTAACGGAGGCTACGACTAAGGGGCACAGGCCTAGCAAAGACTTGAGCGATACAGACGTAGAGGTGGTCGAGATGAAAGATATACCATACCAACACGGAGACACAAATGACAAAAGCGCAGCACTTAAAACTGTGTCGTCGCGGGTGCTGGAGCGCGAGAGCTCGCAGAGCATGAAGAGCTTCGAAGAGAATGTTGTCAGCCCGCCATCGTGGTACGCGAAACCGCAGTTCGCTAAAAAGAAAAGCTTCCATAGAAGCTCGTCCAGAAGTGTCGCATCGCACATTGAAATAATTTAGTTTAGTAAGCAATAATTAAATACCTAGTATAATAATTATTAATTCAATAAGAGTGATAATTGTTTAAAACACATGAATCTAGTCAATAAGGTTTCATGTTAAGCGCAACTGCACTGCAAAAATTATATCAATATGATATAATTTTTATGTAGGCATCACTTTTAGGAATTCACTAGTGATTTCATTGTTATTTAATGCTCGATTATTATTACCCACTTACATTTTCATTTTGTTTGCATTAGATAGATACGAGTACATTGATTGTTTCACCAAATACATTATACACTAAATTTTACTATACTTAGGTTACCACTGACTATAACTGATTATAAATACCGTACATATACAAATTTTCCTGTAGCGACCTACACAGATTAATTACATTCCGGTATACTTTGTACCTACATTTTATGGCTGCAATTTCTAAACAAAACATTTCGAATTCAACCCCACATTAAAATTATACTATTTTATTTATTTATTATTGTGGTGGTATACCTACAGTCAGAAACACAGTAAGTTTTCCACTTTGAACCCTTCTTATATAGTAAACGGTATAGAGTTGAATTTACCACACGCTCGGATTAGGCAGGGTTTTATATGCCAAAGACAGTAGAAAATGTATTTTAGACCAATCAAACTAGGCGAGTTATTGGTCAAGGTTTCCAACCTACCGTTATCTTAACCAAACAATCAAACGGTATACTTACTGTAAAATTATATTAAAACATTATTGCTCGGCGCTACAAAGACATTCCGTTGGAATTTAAATGTAGGTAATCAAAAGACCTAAATACGAATGCAGCCATTAATTAGTATGTATGTAGTTACCTAGACATAAATGTATTTATTTTTGTACTATGAGTTACCGCTGGTATGTATCTACCTCGCTGACTCGTTTCACTTTGTGCAAATATAAAAAAATATATATGGTTGTTAAAAGTAAACAACAGCATTTTATTTTCAAAACAAATCTTTTAGCCATTATTCATTAAATAAAAACTCATCATCAAAGAACCATCGTTTTATTATAAATATATTTTCGGTGCCTGTATTCTAAGAGGCTAGGTAAACTCGAAAAGCGAAAATAAACTTGGAGAAAAAATATTGATATAACAAAATATCGCTATTTTTTCATGAAGTTTTCGATTATATCGGTGGATGTTTTTTTTTAAATATCGAAGACGTTATTATTTTTGAATTCAGCACTTTGACTTACAAATAAACAGCAGCTTGATTTTGATTGCCTGTCCCGATCGGAAACGATTCACAACTGGCCAATCGGAAACTTTTGACATTTCAAATCGGAACAATAGTTGATTTAACTTACAAATTAGAAAGACTTAATAACAATCAGGTTATCTTCTTGCTCGGAAACTGATCTGATTTCGAGACTCTAAATTCGAAAATCAGCATGCAGTATCCACTGTCATTCCAGACATGAAAAACTACCATGTTTTAGCTCTGCTACACAAAGTTCCAAGATCTAATTAGGTACTCAAGAGCGATAAACTTTTTGGAAATACTATAGGCTAAAACTACTAATTTTAGTTAAAATATCGACTTTTTCGTAGAACAAAGGCCTATGTGTAAGACTACTTGTTCTCAGGACATAGTACATTACATTTTGTTCGTTCTTCTTCGCTGTGGATATCAGATCGACCGTTGTTCGATTTTATTTTTCCGAAACGAAATAAGATTTATAAATTCTCAAAGTACCTTTCCATAGGCCTTAGTTTGAATAACGAAATTATTCTCGTAACATACAGGGTTGTACTTATACACTTTTCGCTATATAATCACATCGGACTCTGTTCTGCGGTTAAGTCGATATATTTATTAATCTTGATAAATATAAGTATTGTTTCAATCGATCACTTATTTATCGGTACATTTTTTAAAAACGCATTGTGACCGCAAAGAAGACAACGAAGCTACAAAATCAAAGTTGCATTGATTTGGTTGCAGCCAACCTTAGCAGCCAACTAATAAATTTTAATACATTGCGGTCTGACTCTAACTGATCGTCTGACGTAATCCATGAGACTACGTTTCCAAAAGAATATATCGTTATGACGTAAAGCCATAACCTTTACCCCTTTTATGTTGGCAACCCTTCATTTCAGTCACTATGACAGTGACATTTCCAATATGATACATAACCTCTCCTCTCGAACATTTAGGAGTTTATTAAAAGAGAAAACACAATTCTATAAGCTATATCGTCATATAAGTGCTTACAAAGTGTTATTCTTTGGATCAGACGGCATCGCTCTCAGTAGTTTGAAGAAAATTAACGAATTCAGGTAGTTTTGCTAATGTGAAAATATGTTGTTGAATAATCGTGAATTAGACCTGATATTTACTGTAAATAATGTTCCTTTTTCTGTAGGAAGACTAAGAAGTTAATAGAGCGGTTAGATTTGGTCACAGCAAATAATGCAAAGCACAAAACAACAATTGAGAAGTATGCGGAATCACAGAACATTAGGACCATACAATGGCCTCTACAGAACTTGATGGATGCAGAATATGATATTGGTTTCATAGTAGCATTTGGACACCTTATAAAAGATGATGTTTTAAACAAATTTCCATTGTAAGCTGTTTTTCCATCCTTATATCATTGTTATCCTTTTCAAACTGTAATTGAAATAAAAGTCAAACATGACGTCGATTTTGCTGTTTGTACTCAATAACACTCTGAAGTATACAGAAAATGTTCTGTATTGCACATAATCTCAATTTTTCAGGGGTATGGTGAACGTCCACCCAAGCCTATTGCCACGATGGCGTGGAGCAGCTCCCATAATTCACACTCTATTGCATGGAGACCAAGTCACTGGAGTCACTCTCATGAAGATCAAAGCTAATGTTTTTGATGTTGGTATGTCACAAATACCTCTAGAAGTTAACTTGTCTTTCTAGCCTGGTTGACGGTGAATCTTACTGAGCAGCAGCATATTTGTTTTTTACCCATGTTGTGATACAATCTTCAAATTCCTGACAAAAATGTAAAAATACAGAAGACTGTTGTTCTACCAACATATTCTCAAGCTGGAATAAAGTGCACCTAAAAGGATGTCTTTAATTTTATTTAGCAATTCACGCACTATATTGTCATTGTATTTGTGTAATAATAAAGTGAGATAATTTCGTTTTTTAGGTGAAATAATAAGTCAACAAAAAGTGTCAGTCCCTACAGACATCAAGTTACCTGAACTGACTGTACACTTATCAGAAATAGGTGCTAATATGCTAGTGGACTGTATAAGGAATTTGCCTAGGAGTCTAGAAAATGCACAACCACAAGGCGATGAGGGAGTTACATATGGTAATGCTAAGAACTCACGGAGCGATTTTCACCCGTGCCTGCTGTGGTTGCACGTTGTTCTGCAAACACGACGGCTAGGTGACCGCAAAAACCTGTGGTGTTGTGAATATTGAAATGAAATGGCTGTCCCACAGAGGTGGCGGGCGCGGGTGGAAACCACTCCATCAGTTGTTAGCCTTAGAGTTTTTTAAGTTTACAACATAATAGGGTTGAAAAATAGACATATTGCATGCAGATGTCCTGAGTTCGATTGTATCAGTTAAACCAATTTAGAAAACAAACTTTTGAATCAGTGGTCTGGGTGTCTGATTCCAGAGTTTTGGGATCAGGTGTAATTTTCTAATACTAAATAATATAATCATATAGTAATATGAGAAGTAAGAAAATAATTGTAAGCTTTCCTTAATTCAACATTACATTAGTTTTTTAAATTTCAGCAAAGAAAATTACCAAACACATCAGTGAAGTAAGATGGTCAGAAATGAACGCCATTCAAGTGTACAACCTTTACAGAGCAATTTATGGCTTATACCCACTTAGGACCAAATTCAGAGATAAACAAATGAAGCTTTTCGATGCATTTCTAGAAAACGAAGAAGTAGCGCGTGACTTGTCACCAGGAACCTTAGAATATAATGAAAACACAAAAGCCATAAGAATAGTTTGTAAAGATAGAAGATATATTTATTTCAAAGCTGTTAGAGTAGTAGGTAAAAGAAAAATTTCAGCTTTAGACTTCTACAATGGTTACATTAAGAATGTTCCTGTAGAAAAAAGACAATGTATGGTTTGCTAGATGCCAATAAAGTCAGCTAAATTATCTAACATTGTTTAATTTACGAATATAGACCATTCTATACTCGTATATTATATTATTATATTTCGTAATGTAAGCGTAAATAAATATGAACACTAAGTGTAATAAACAATATTTATTTAGATAGAATATATAGATACACGTATATTATACATAAAGATTTTCATACAAACTAATTGAACATCGAAGCTACTCTCTACTATTAAGACTGCATAATAAATTAGATAGCATACTACCCAGATAGATCTATTCAGGAAAGAGTCAATATTCTATATATTTTATATATATAGAATCTATATATATTATATATCTATTTATTTATTTCTAGTAGCAATATTTATTCATACCCTACATAATGTGTTATTATCTACGCAGTTTTCAATAAATAAACACTTATTTACTACACGTTTGCCTATACAAATCTTACATCTTGAGCTCAATGGAATAGGTAACTGAGCAAAAAATATTCAGAAAATAAATTATCTAAAATCGTATTTACAAATCATTACGCCTATTTAGATTCTTTGGTCTATCACAAGTTCACAATTATTCTATAACTATGTTTACGGCGTCTCACTTTGCTTCAGCCATTTTTATCCTGAAAATAATTACACAGATGATTTAGTAAACAACACAAGTGGCAGAGGCAAAAGTCAATCTCTAATGACCATGTTCTCTATATTATGTACAATGTTAATGTAATTTAATTGTTACAAAAAGTCCGTATTAGTTATTTACATCTGAAATAATATAAGTAAATAATTTACTATGTGATATGTTTTAACAAGTGCAAGACACAATTCGACTGTTGTTACTTAAGGTAGTGTTCAATCGGTATAGTCAGGATACAAGATTAAGTAGGTTATACTTACCGATTACTGACGTTAATCACAATCTAAGCTATACACTGTTTGGTGGAAGACACAATTTATTTTCAAAGCTACATTGCAATCATATTATTTATTTGTACTCTATTTTATTGCGCCCTATCAGTTGCTGAATTCGAAAATGATCGAAAAAATGAATTAATGAACAGTGCTGGTGCTTTTTAATGTCCCAAAGCTGAATCTTGAGTGGAAGAATTGGGCTTTACTCATTTCTGAAACCCATTCCACAATACAAATTAGGCATTGCCAATGTTGTTATTTTATAAATACAGGTAAATGGATGTAAATAATAGACATAATTTTAGATGCAGGTGGTGTAATCGAGGTAAGATAATAAATACAAACAAACATATCGAGATGTAAAAAACAGAAGCCTGAATAATTACCTAATAAGTACCTTACCTTCATGAACAATTTAGCAAATACAGCAATGCGATTTTCTAACTATCCGAATCCTGAAAAAAACAAACTTTCTATACTCCGACTAACTAAAAGCAAATTTAAAAGAATAATTACCAAAGGCTTCTGTTTTTCTAGTACTCTAAATGAACCAACTCATTCATTGAGTATTAAGTACCTGACACGAAACATTTAGATGGCACACATGAGTAGAAGTAATTGTTACTTTAGTTGAAATATTGCACTAGATGAAGCGACAGTCATGGAATTAATACATTTTTATTTAAAATACATCTATCCCTATCGTAAATTTCTCTTACAGACATAGACTAGGACAATTGACTTAACCCGTTATTAACAAATTCTTTTGGCTTAAAAAGATGAGAACCCTTTACCGTTAAAACTAGCTGATCTATAAACAAGCATCCCTACTAGAACACGACTCCTAAGCGTTAAAAAAGTAAGAAAAATATTACAACTGTTCAAGATTAAAATCTCAGCGGTTGCAGTTCGTTCGGTAAACACTAAATAACATCTAAATAGCAAATAAAATTTAACAAACATTTACAATGAAATTATATTTATAAAAGAATGACAACCGTGCAATTATGTGAAGATAAAAAGGCTTTCTACATAGACAACCTGTGCAAATAATTTTATACGTCACGTTATGGCGCAATTTACATCGTAGCCAAAGACTTGTGTGCTCAGAAAAAATGGCGGGTTTTCGTAGTCACACTTTTTACACGGTTTAATTTTTACTTAAGTAACATTATATTTTGAGATTTTCTTTGTCTCTTTGTTATCTTTTTCAGCTGACGGCTCTATAGCCAATGCTTAATACCAGTCTAAATAAATGCAATTTTAAGAATCATTCACGTTTTTTTCGAGTTTTGTTAGTCATTAGAAAAGTGCTCGGTATCACATGATATTGCCTTGCATCGTTAAGATAGTTGCTAAAGTAAACACGGGTAGTTTGCCCGTCTAGGCTATCTAGTTAGAAAACCTTTATGATCGACTAGCGATGAGTTACGTCACTGTGCTTTGCAACTCAACTTCTTACCAAGTTTTTTTGGAATGTTGGTACATTATTATCTTAGCGTGAACCTACTGACTAATAAATAACAGGAATAATTTTAGGAAAGATGTCATGGCAAATTTGGAAACTCCGAAAGTATAAAACGGTAGGAAGTCAAGTTGTACGCAATGGCGGCAAATGCATGTGCAAACAGTAAATGCAATGTCGGAGTGCGAAGGCCTTCACTCGGGTCACAGAGAGGATTTGGGCGCCGGCATTTTCCTAGAATATTAGTAAAAATGTTAACGCTGCTACACGCTCTCAACAGACTGACATATTACATAGAGATAAAAGAGTACGCAGTTAACCCAAATGATGTTCGTAATCGATTTTTTTTTTTTATTATACTCGTGATGTAATATGAAGACATATTAGTCAGATGACGGAGGCAAAATATGTCATTGCGTTTTAATGATATTACTTCGAGAGCACAATTCTAGAGTCATTGTGTACAAAATGTACCATTTTCTCAAATTACATCTAGTTATTTTTTTATATACAAAGTATCTCAGAAACATGTGAGTAGAAAATTCGGAATGTTAATTCAAAAACAATCGTAAAGTCACCATTTTATTTACATTTAGCAGGAAGTATACTTCTACAAAATACGATACAAAACATGCATAAAAAACAAAATAAAAAAAGTATAAAAATTATAAGGTAAACAATATATAATGATCTTGTTAGTAGGACTAGGAATGTTTGCAGACGTTTGATTAATATATGCTAATGTTCTTGGGAGCGAATCTGCAACATTGAATATTGAGATTAGGGATGAGGAAACTATTCCCTAATTTAGGGTGACATTTGATTAACCAAAAGCAGCTTAGCACGGCATTCCTGTTAACAAACATCGGGTCGCGGCGCACGGCTGTTGATTTAAAGTAACATGTTTACATTTTATCTTTCATTACGATGATGGATTCCTTTAATTATTGTGCTGGATCCCTTTTGTTACGTTTTCATCGACCGCTTTCGTTACGGTGGTCGATCTGTTTCGTTACAGTGATATACCTCTTTCGTTACGGTGATGGATCTCTTTCGTTACTGTGAGTGGTCTCTTTTGTTTTGTCACGGCGTACATTTCTTTAACCATTTCTCCATAAACACAAAAAAAAAGCAATTTTGTTACCAAAAATTCAGACCAACACTTTGATTTCCCATACAAACGGCTCCACTTTTAAGCTATTTAATAGGAAGTAAAAAATTTCTAATAACATAAATCTGTTTTTTCAATTATAGGAATGCCGTGGATAGGCGCTTCGGTTTAATACAAAACAACTGAATTGAGCTACCTTTTTGTGCGAATGTGAAATGACAAAAAAAGCTGACACTAGTGGGGACAATGGAAAGAATTTCGGGTAATGAAATTCGTCGTTCTAATTATCATAATTTATTTAATTATTCTTCACGTTAGTCACAGCGTACATAGGTCGTACAAGAATAAAGCCAGTGCAGTTAAATTAAGAAACGAAGCTTACAACTAGGAACCAATCTATGGGAATCTAAACGCGACTGATTTTACGCAAGCTCGATCGTACTATATCGTGACTAGTGAAATACATCGCAAGCGCCATATGTCGAAGCAAAAAACGCTATATTTACTTGTCACAATAAAACACTTTTCAGTTGAGCTTCAGTCGCGTCGCTTCCGCTAGATTAGCCCTAGCCTAAGTGTACATTTTGTAATTATAATTAGAGTTAATTCTGTATGTACATATATCCTATATATATATTTTGTAACAAATATTTACTAATATTTGTACTTATCACCTAAACTGGACTCTTAACAACATCAATAAAGGTTATCTGAACAACACCCACTCTGCACTGTTAATTTACTCGGTTACCACGTAGATAACGCGCCCTTTTTGGCCGAAACTAGAACTTATTTGACAGCGTAATATATCAGCAAAGATTAATAACGCCTTTTCAATATTAGCAACAACAGGTTGTATTATATTAATAAAATGCAAGTCAGTGTACACACTATATTCTAACTACAAATATATATATACATGTAGAGCGTGAAATTTAACGCATTGGTCTTACCTTACTTATCGAGATGGTTTTCAGATTCATTGTGAAATCGAATATTAAAATCGAGCTCTTCAACAATAAGACCATTACGATATTTCCAATTTGTTTCAATTACCTGCTCCACTTTGCTAACATTTTGACCGATGCATTATATTTCACACTATAAAACATACTATCGCTCAACATGCTATATCAACTAGCTATGAATCGCATGACTGCTTTGGTTACTCCGCGTTCAATTTCCACACGCAGTTATCACTCACACTATACACGCGTGTCAAACAGGGTGTTCAATGCATTATTCAATGCATGTTCGTTGTGAAGGCTTCCTTGTCTATCACAAGCAACCAGCCAATGGCGACAGAGCGGCAGTTTTATGCGCTATGGAAATTGAGGTCATTGACGCGGAGGCGTCAGTAGCACTGCGCTCGAATGATCGCTCATGTACGCCCATAACACGTAACAGAGTGGTTCTGCGAGAAATAACCTTTCCTAAGAGACACCAACGTTAACACCGTGAAAGACGACGCGTGCAGTCATTTGCATTCATAGTTAAAAACAATCTAAGTACTAGCACCCTGTATACAAATATACCGTTAGATATGTACGTAGGTTATGTTATTTGTTTCTATGTTCTAAACTACGGCAAGTTTAAGATAGTAACTAGGAGGCTAGAAGCTGAAGCTGTCAAGGGGAAGTAGGAATGCTCACATGTGCTCGGGGTGGCTGCGGATGCAGTCGATGAAATCGGTGGGCTTCAGCTCGCCTCGGCAGATTCGGTACACCGCCGTGAACAGGGGGAACCTACCACACAAGAACGTTGGGCTTTATATACATTTACTATGTTCCTTACCTGGGTTACCCATAGTGTATAGTATATAGTATAGTGAATAGTGAATACCTCGTATGTATTTCTTTGTAATTTATCAGGACGAAGATAAAAATGTGGTATAAAATGTAGTAAACGCAATAATATTTGTAGTTAGCATTTTGATTAGTTAAATTAGTTAGAGTTGCACAGTTTAGATACCTTGGTCATATTATGACGGAGGACCTAAAGGATAACAAGGATGTTGAGAGGGAGCGCGGGCACTGTCAGTTCGAGGCAATATGTTGGTCCATAGATTCATGCGGCGTACGACTGGAGTGAAACTTACGCTCTTCACAGCTTACTGCCATAGTTTCTACACGTGTGATCTATGGTCCAACTTTACGCTGAGATCATATGGGACTTGAGAGTCCAATACAATAACACCTTTAGGGCCTTGTTGCGGCTTCCCCGCTTCTGCAGTGCATCTGGCATGTTTGCTGGTGCTGTTGTGGACGATTTTTATGCCATTATGCGCAAAATGTCCACATCAGTAGTGCGAAGGGTTAGGGGGAGCAACAACGAGATCCTAAAGATGATAGCGTATAGGATGGATGCAGCGGTTTTCCGAATTTTTAATAATTGTTTAATCTACTAACACAATACTAATACAGTTAATAAGGTGTGTCATGTTACGAACGTACTAATTTGTATGGACTATTAGTTGTCTGAAATAAACAATTTTTATTTTTTTTTATTTAGACTTCTTCCGGATACTTTATTATTTTAATGATTGAGCACGTTTTTCTTCAACAAAAATTAGTAAAAAGCTAAAAACAAACTATGTGAAAACGCATATGCGAGGTTTTCACTCTAGGCGACGATTTGCACTGTAATAAAAGAAACAAATTGTGCTATTGTGCTAAAACTCTGACGCAAAGTTTCAACCTTTGTCTGTGTGCTTGTCTGTCTGTGGCAACGTAGCACCCGATCGGCTGATCTAAAAGCGAATTTTCTTTTATTTGAAGGCTAATTTAATCGGAATGATTTTTAGCTATGATTTATGGACATCTGTTCAGTAGGGCTATAGCACGACAGGGATCTCTATGCTAAGTTTAAAGATCAGATCTTTTTCCGGTTAAAGTAGGCATCTCGGTCATAAAATGAATTTTTCTATTACTTACACTTAACCGATCGCCTGACATTTCAATAATATGGCAACCTTGATCTGATGCTGCAACCAGAAGGTCTATTCCCATTCTCCATCCGACATTCGTCCGAAACAATTACTTTCAAATAAGTAATACCCAACCAAATAAAAAGAGGCATGATGCGAAACAAGCTTCATACTTGATGTTGTCTTCCGATTTGGTCGAGTATTGCTTATTTGACAATTATTGTTTCGGACGGAGAACGGGAATAGTCCAGGGACCCCCAGGACTGTCTGCATACTACCCAACACATTAACTATTTACAGTAAAACTACCGTATTTGGGCTCTTTAAATTGGTCACGACAACTTGTTAGCTGACAGGTGGTGAATTTATACTTAGTACACTGTTTAGTATCAGAGGTTATTACAATTTAAGTTTTAATTTTGTTACTGTGAGGCAATTCCTTCCTCACCAACGGACGTAACTTACAACAACAAACATGATTTGTATACATTTTTTTTAAATTGAGTGTTGTCAGTCACATTGACACGTTCTACAAAACACTAATTATGCTAAATTTCCGAAGGGTCCTTAGCTAGCCAAAGTTGGGAAAACTGACCTAGAATAAAACCATTGTGTTGTCTACACAAAGTTTTCGGTAGAATATATCTAACACTTGTGCCTAGAAAATATACTGAAACTAGATTAGTGAAATAACTTTAAAATGCGTTAAAAGTAAATGAAAAATAAATCGCAGTTTTGTCTTGCCAACTTAAAGAAAAAAAAATATAGTAACGTGTGTAATGCGGTACACTGCAATTAATCTCAGTAATGACCTCCGCAAGTGGACGTGGATAATAGCCAAGATGCTATTTTAGTTTAATATGCGATTATTTAACCTTTCAGATAGTCAGCGGCAGATAACGAAGAATCAGATGCCGAAAGATTCGCGAGGAGTATGTTTAATGTAGATAATGAATATTAATATGTATTTATGATAAAAAAAGTTATTTGTCGATGTTTGCGTGAGTATGAAATTTATCTGCATTGAATGTAATAGATAACGTAGATAAAGTATTTGTCGAGTGCCATAAACAACGGGTTTAACAATATTGTGTTTGGTTTAAGGCTCATCGAACATTGCTAATTATTTCACTTGCTGTCAATGCACCAGGTTTTTTGAAAAATTAATCAAAATAAGTGCACTCTAGCAAAAGCATATACTTACTAATAAAAGTTTGTACTTAATTATAACAAAGGGTGTTACTGACTTGTTCTCCATATTCTTATTGGTCAGCATATGGTTGACCTCCTCGGCGGTGATGGGCCCCTGCAGCTTCTGTCCGTTGAGAAGCTCGTCTTCCAGCTCTTTGATGGACTTGCCAGTCTTCACGAACGCCTCTGCTACTCTTCTGTTTCTGCCACCTGCAAATGTTGTATAGTATGTTAGATACCTACTTTAATAAAGGTAGGTACCATATGAGACATTATTATGGATTATTGATCTACTCAAGACGGAAAATTGATCTTAATTGATAATTTTTTATTGCGGGTGTGTATTGTCGTGTCGTTTCGTTGGCTTTTGTTTGTCATGGCGCTTAGCCGATCTTGATAGTGATATTGTTATCTACGTATTTGAGTATAATAATGGCTACACTACTACGTATGCTACCTAAGCAAACGAGCAGACGAGCCACTTGATGGGAGGTGGTCACCGTCACACATGGACATTTGGAACATCAGATGAGCTGCCTATGCGTTGTCAGCCTCTTACAGGAGGCCTATAAACACACTTTTTAAATGACCTCATGAAATACTCAAATCATCAGTATAGTGAAGTTAGCATAATTTTGAAAAAAAAGTAGACTTCGACTCAGTTTATTACTGAGGCAAATCCAGAAGAGTTTTTTGGGATAACTTTTTTCGTTTTAAATTCCAGCCATCACGACGAAAATTTTTTTCAAAATTCCGTCTTTTTAAAATCAGTATCCCAAATTGATACTTTCAAATTGCGCCACTTTATTATTGAGGGTGCTAAACTTTCCTCGTTTTAGAATTTTTTTCGATGCAGAAGGTAACAGGAATGTTTCGTTGTGTCATAAATAGTTGATTATATTGCATAAAATAATAATCTGCACGAGAGACGGGGTAATACTGTCGATAATATTATAAACCCCGTTCTTTAAATGTGCTTGACGAAGACGAATTGATCTTGATAAGTTATCGAGCCGGTGCAAAGAGCGAAATTCCTGATAGTAACTAACTCTACATTCAACTGGTTCTATTCGTGTCTAAACTCAAGACTGTTTATATACTAAAGAATATTTTAAACAGCAGTGTTAGCACTTTGGAATAGTAGTTGATTCGTCATTGAAACGTACGACTTTAATTTTTAAGTTACGTCCATTTGTGAATGTTAACGAAAACATCGTGATGAAATCTGTACGTGGATAAGATAAGATACATTTATTTCCTTATAACTTAATCGAATACAATACAAGCAAAACAAATGTAAATTAAGATATGATAATAAACAATAAAATGAACCTTAATATACAATCTTTCAAGAAACATTTAAATAAGCGACACGCCCGTCCATAACAGTTGCAGTGTCACTCAGAGCTTCAAAACGCAAAGATCGGAGGGGCACTGCGCCCGTCACCCTGAGACATAAGTTGACAAAAGTCCCAAAGATCTTAGAACTTAAATAGTACAGCTGCGTTGCCTAAACTATGTAAATGGGTACATGTATTTTAAGCATTTTCTTTGTGCATTTGTTATTTACATTACAGCTTAAAAACAGATTTTCTTTTTTTTATTTAACATCAAAACAGTTATTAGTATATAGTTATATAGTATTAATGTTTTATAAATATAATTTTAACAAGTCTTCTGTATCATCATAAGTCTTATTCTTAAGCGGTCTTTTTACATTCTATCTTATTCATGGCGAAATAATGCAAAGCAGAATTTAATTTAAAGTAAAATTAGGAATGTGACAAAGAAGCAGAATAATCTATGCGAGTGTGCTGTGCGGAGTTGTGTACGAGACGAAAAGGTACCGAGTCGCCTGGTATTGGTTCAGTCACGGAATCAAATGGAGTAATTGGGTGCTTTTTCAAAAGTTGTTGAAGAAGCTTGAAACTTTTTTAAAGTATTTTACCTGTTTACTAAAAATTACTTTTCGGATTTAGCCACTTATATTGTTGAGGGTGTGATATACAGTTCCGTGTTGACGCGGAACTGTATATCACATCCGCGTCATCGTATTTAAGCCAGTGATATACGCGGGATCAATGCGAGCGATAGGCTAAATTCATAAACACGTGTCAACACGGTGTAATTAAATAGTGTGGGCAGTCAAATGTAGTGAATAAACATTGAACATCGGTAAAACTCGATAGCCCCGGATATTTCTAAACGCTGTTGGCGTGTTAGTTATCGCATTAACGACTGACATAGTTATGTCAATTAAATACAAAACTTTATTAGTCAATGTCGAACGCTGGCAGTGACTTTGACGTAAGACATTCGTTTAATCATTATTTATCTTGAATACATCAGTTATTACATTACACATACAGTGGAAATGAGATTCCTGAGAAGTGGTTTGTGCACACGAGCAGATGAATGAATGTAGATTAACGAAAGAAATATATACTCGTAGAGCTAACGTAGAAGGAATCATTGGAAGAGGACAGACACAAAAAACATTCTCTGATCAAATTGAGAGTGTGACTACTCTATTGCAATGAGGGAAAGTATATACTGGCAGGGGCACTGTGTTGTCGTAGTATAGTTTGGAAAACAAAGAGTTGGCGCACGTTCCTCACAATATTAATATAAGGCTCTTGTTGGAAAACGAAAAGGTTTGAACGCACATACCTTTAAAACTGCTTTCTGAGCGCGCTCGATTATAAGCATTATTATTATTATTATTAATTTACGCACTAAGTAAGAGCTGTCAAATCGCAGTAGAAGCATGAAATCTTAGCTGTTTTGACATTGCTTTAAAAAAAGTACGTACAAGCCTAAGCCCGCACTTTTCCTGTCATTATCGTATTTAGTCATACATTATTTAGCAATTTGCTAAAAATATTTAGATATACAAACCGTAGCAGGTGGTGATGAGGTCGGCCACGCCGCAAGACTCGAAGAAGGTGCTGAGCTTGCTGCCGGGGTAGAAGACGTCGACGAACTTGATCATCTCCATGAGGCCGAGGCGGATGACGGCCGCCTTCGTGTTGTCGCCGAAGCCCAGTCCGTCCACGAAGCCCGCGCCCACGGCTACGATGTTCTGCGGGCGGGATACACTACACGCCACCGCCACGCGCTTGGCCCTCGCAGTAGCAAGCAACAAGCACCCGGCTGACATAAACTACGGTACTGTTCTTAATTACCCGGCGCAGTGCTGTCAAGGACAACACGATTAAATAAGGCAGTCATGTCATTTAGATGAATAGACTGACTAGCCTCGACAGCACTATATCTAGTGTCGTGCGTGGCCTAATATGCAAAGTGAGAATTTGACTGTGAAGCGATATTCTCTATTGGTTAATTCTTCTTCTTCCTATTCAAGAGCTGGGCTCTGTTCTGTAAGCTACTAGCCATCTACTTTCGTAAAGAGTCTGTACAACCTCGAATGGCTTTGGTTGATTCCGCGTAACAGTGAAAAAGTTGAATCAATCAATTTGGAAAAAATATATAGGAAAATTAAGGATATACTCTGATTATTCTAGATACGGTGTGAAAACACGATTTCGAAAATTTTCACGATAGAAAAAAAACACAAACTTACCGCGAAATTTGACGAGAAACCCGGTGTATTCAATAGGTATTTTACATATATCAATGTTTTTTTTTTATATCAACTGAACTAAATGGAGAACGTATAGTATACGATGTACATAAATTTCGTTTGTAAAAAAATAAAACCTGAAATAAAACCAGTGTCCCCGCCACTCGACCCGGGAGAAAGTTGAATTCGAGCGACTCTTAATTATTGTCTTAACATTGAGTTCCTGATACGACAGGACATTAACTTTTTCCCTAAATTGATCTAAATACTTCGTCTAGGTCTTCCCCTGCCCTTCTATAATTGTTCTACAAAGACTGTGGTGACCCTATAAGATGCCCAAAGTAAGAGGACGTCTGTTTACGTTATCTACTAAAGTTCATACGTGTAAGTGTTGCAACAGTCCACTGTCTATAGTAGTTTCTAATTAGAAAACTCTGGGCATAACGTTCCAAAGCAACTGATAACTTGTTGTAAATTGCAATAACTGTACTGCATTCTCATCTTTTTTTTCTATGTACATATCTATATTAATACGCTTAACGCTCAATGGATGATATAGAAGGTGTAACAAAAAAGTGTAGTTATATTTTACAATATTAAAGTCTCCATAGTTATTAAAGAAATTTGGACACATGATACATTTTGTGACTTGTTTGTAAAACAGAAAAAATTGTATACTAAAAAAATATGACCACACTTTTAACTTAACATTTGCATCGGAACGGCTTCACCATCAACTGCATTTAACCGAGGAGACGTACGCACCTTGAGCGCTCCGCAGATCTCGACGGCGTCCTCGTCGTCGACGACCACGACCCGGAAGTACTCGGTCTGGATGATGTCCCTCATCATGGGCGCGAGGTACACGTCGCGGCAGCCGATCGTGGTCTCGCAGAATTTCTCATCTGCCACCTTTCAACGACGGTTACAAAGATTTATTATGGAGATGCTATACAAGAATCTAAAATTAACGTATTATGTCACTCTGTCATTTCTGACTCTGTCTGACATTTGTGCTGAAAGTGATATGCCACAAACAGAAATCCTTTTCTTCACTCAGCTGGCGCTTCTCACAGATAGCGCTACTGCAAAAAGTTTTTAAAAAGATCAAACAAAGATCTGCAATGAGCACATAGAAAAATTCGTAAGGTCTATTGTTTCACTCCGTGGCTTAGTTGGCATAGCGTCTTGCACGGTTTGCTAGAAGCTGTTGGTTCGGATCCAACCGGGTATAACTAGTTTTTTTTAAGTGTTTGTTGTAAATCTTTGTATTAATGATTATAACAAACTAGTGGAGTAATTTCACAAAAAATAATTGAATATCATGATGGTGAAACACCCTGACATTTAATAAACTTAATTACAATATTTTTTGGCCTTGGGAGTAAGAAAGAGCATGGAATAGACAATAATAATAACGATTAATTTTCTCAACACAAAGAAACCGGAATCTTACATTAAATAAAAACTATCACAATTAAATAATAAATATTAAAAATAAACCCTAGCAAGAGACGGGCGCCCATACTAGTCAATTAAGCCACGATTACAGCTCACCAAGCCCCTCGCCCTCTCAGATTTCTTAACACGCGATCTAATTTTGTGAAATAAAAATTAATTAATATTGTAGGACATTATACCTATATAACCGTTTACGCAGCAGTTCTTTTATAATTTTAATACCAGTACGGCTTTCGACCTTTACGCAATTTCCGGTTTCGGCCTCGTTCAATGTCAACAGCGCCAAAAAAGTTACAATTTGTAAATTATTTTGCCGACTACTGGTGAAGGGAGTTAAAAAAATAAGTTAGTTTTCACTTCCGAGTTTTGGAGGTAACAACCTTACATCAACTCATTACCTTCGACAGGGTTTAGGCCACCATCTCTCATGCTAGTCCAAGCTTTTTTGCACTTCAGATGTTTACCATAGGTTGTGAACCCTTCTTCGATTTGTATTGATACTAAACATTTAAAAATGTAAGCAACATGAAAATTAATGTTAGAACCATCACCTTTGAATTCAGAAGCAACCTTTCTCTCACAGAGCTACCACCGCTGGTGCTCTTACATCAACAACAGAGTTCAGATGATATTAAACAGCAACATTGGTGGTACGTTTTTAACCGACAGAAAAAAGGAGGAGGTTCTCGACTGTATTTTGTTGTTGTACCGCAGTATTGGTCCCATTTAAATTTGAAGAAAATATTACACCTCTAAGGGTGGCAAACTAGGGGATGAATTCAGTTTCGCGCACCTTCCGGTAACCGATTTCAATATAACTTGTTCACAAATTCCACGATCTTTTTTTTATAAAAAAGTTGTAATTATCTGACCATTGTTAAAGGTATTTTTCAAAGTTGAAATGTAATTTTTATATTGGTAGTTCATGTCGAAACTTGTCAAAGGTAGTTATCATATACAAACAAGGCATGTCTTGTCTGTAATTGCCATAGCGAATGCTTTATGCTTTTTAGACTTCTACGCGAAAACGAAACACTTCAAGGTTTCGATTGCAAACCGTATTGTTGTTTCCACGGCGCTAAATATAGCACCTTTTCAATGAAATCATGTTTCAACTTGTACAAGAATAAATAAACACAATACAAGCAATATCGTAATAAAATAACGCAAGTTACCGTAGTTTTATCAGCTCATTTGCCTAAAAGCTATGAACAACATCACATCGTCAAAAAAAATTAAAAAGTATTTATTGCTGTGTGAATAAGATCACCAACTAATAAAGCAAAACTGTTAATCATCGATTTGATTTTGGAGAGGTCAATTCAGTATAAAATTTAAAAAAAAATGGTATAAATAATAACATGATCATTTCAAGGGTTAGTAGACTTACCCCTAATTGCCATTTTTTTTTCGATTTATTCTCGGAATGCTATAACTTATTAGGACAAAAAATTTCATGATCAAAATTTATTCCGGTAAAGCTCGATAAAAAAAATGTCACGCTTAGACAAGAAGGAACGAAACTCGTGAAGACGATGGATATATAATAAATTATAAATAATTGCTGAGCAATATAGACTGTATGTACTAGAGTCACAAGTACTCTATTGAGTCTGGATAGTACGTTGAAATATTACTCAATTCCCCTACATCTACAACACATGAGACCAGTTTTTTTTTTAATACCTATGTAATGTTTGTATATGTATACATTTACACAGTCATTGCTACTTCGTCGTCGATATTCCACATGTTAGCGTACGATCAGTAAACAGTAAATACTTCCGACGCGGTGATAATAATAATAATAACGCACACACTCGACATAGCCCCGCACTAGGGAAACCCTGAGTCGCGGGTGCCATGGACACACATAGACAACCACAAATTACACCCAAACTCACGAGATAAATAAATATAGGCCATACAAATATTTCTCCCGGCCCGAGAATCGAACCTGGGACCTCTGCGTGGCAGTCCGGCATGGTAACCGTTCGGCCACGGAGGAAGTTACTAGGTGATAGCCGAGTGCGATTCGCAATTGGCAGGTGGACGTACGTATGTACCTGTACGAATTCAATTTCTCAGCTACGTATGCCTCGCTAACGGTGAAAACAACGTGATAACTAATCATCGAAGAAGGTTTACAACCCCTAGAAAACGCATAAACTCGTCAATCGCGTTGCGCGTGCGTTACGTAAGAACCGTGTTCAGAACGTCCCACTGCTACGTACAATGGGCCGATGATGATGACTTCACCGCTTGGATGAATGAGAGAAATACGGTATTGTGTAACTTACCTCCGAAGCAATGTTAGCTCCCATAAGTACAGCACAGGGGATTTTCAGGCGTCTTGTGATGATGTGTGATATTAAGTCGATGCCGCCGCCTTCCGCGATGTCAAAGCCCTGGTTCACAACAAAATAATATTACACTAGAGAAAAAAAGTTAATAATGCATGTGGGACAACACAGTGGGAAACGACCGGTGGGACCTGTTGATCCTGGAAGTGACAAAATCAACAATAAGACCTCGTAAGTAAAAAGTAACCTTTATAAGCGAGAGAGCGACCGCCGTGGGCTTGATTTGACCGAGCAGTGTAGAGCAGATGGTCCTCACGAACTGGTGAGGCACCACGAAGATAATCAGGTCCGCTTCTTTCGCCGCTTGCACAAGATCTGCCACTGCCAACTTGATTTCAAAAGAAAAATGTTATAAGTAACTGGCCACACGGCATAAATGCTAATGACGACGTTCATCATGTGGGATGTTCGATAATTCCAAATATATTTAATCGCTTTAACTCGTGTTAGTTACTCAATATTACGTTAATTCTTACCCGTGACTAAATATGTCAAATAATCATCTTGTTTCAAATAGTAACACAGTCTTTCATGTGTAAGTATGCAAATGATTAGAGTAGATACTTGTTTCATTCGCAAGCGCGTGTGTATGTAAGATTTTTTTATTTCTTGTCTTGTTTGTTCATATCCAATACAGGTTTTGTCCAATGGCGAAGCACCTATTAACCAATTGTACGACTGTGTAAGTACCTACAACTGTACATTCGTAAGCACGTTAACGAACAATGCAAGGGGAATATTAATTGCGGGGTGACGTCGGCCTTGACCATGAGCTCATCCGCGTTTAGCTCCAATGAACTGGTGCCATTAAATATTATGCACTCGGTGCAGATTATGCGTGCAGTAGGAAGTAAATTAAATAAAAAACGTAGTTAATTTTTATAATAATAAGTTACGGTACATCGCTTACCGCAAGTTGTGGTCGTAAGTGACTCTCCTATCCATAACAGTTGCAGTGCTAGTGAGTTGTGGGGCTATGGGGCTCACGGAATGATAAAATCGTGCGTTCCACTTTGAAAAAATTTAGGTTCAAAATTATTCAAGTTTACCGCGTCGGATCGACAACGATCGTTTGTTCGTTCGATTAATATTCGCTGTTAAAGCAGTGCGGCCGTGTTCTAGGGTTACACACCGGTGCCGAGAGCGACAAGTGTGGGCGTGTACGTGACGGACGGGAGGTCGAAAGTATTTTTTTTTTAATTTTCATCATTTCGTGTTTTATGACCTAATGGTGTATATTCTTATTAAGTATATGTTATATTTTATATGAAAAATAATGAAACAATGAATTATTGAATATCAATTCAATAAAAATTTAAAATACAGTGAATAGCGACATCTCTCGCCAGGGCTGGTAACTGTAAAGATATCTAACTGGGTGATAAAACTTTCATAGATTTCTCACAGATGGCGCTACGACTAAAAAGTCGTTGAAAAAACCAAATACAAAGATACGACGCAAGCACATAGAAAAATTCGTGAGGTCCGCTAGTCCGTTCCGTGGCTTAGTTGGTATAGCGTCTGGCACGGTAAGCTAGAAGACGTCGGTTCGAATCCGGCCGGATCGAAGAAATTTTTTCCGATTGTTCGATCTTTGTATTAATAATTATAACAAACTAGTGGAATAATTTCACAAAAAAAAATTGAATATCAATTCAATAAAAATTTAAAAAACAATGAATTGTTAGAAATTTTGTTTTTTATTTAGTCATAAAGTCATAAAACACGATCGTACTTGTCAGGATGGAAATGACTAGATTAGTCTTTTATGTATTTACTTTTTTTTTTTTAGGGACATTAACATGCGATTTGGTTGTACAAATCATCGGAGAAGTTTGGTGAATCTGACGTTGAACATTGAGAACAGGAGATAGAAAGTGATAGTGACTCTTCATTGTCACGTTCTAGCTCCTCTATCAGCTCTGAAGAAATCGAACCTAAACCTGGATTTAATACTCTCATATCGTCTCCAACTAGTCGTCGTGGCAGTCATCGCAGTTGTGGTAGGAGGTCGGCTATTCGCAGCCGTATATCTAATAAAGTCGTATCTGTATCCTGAAAGTCGATCACTTCCCGACGCCGAAAAACTACGTCTCTCCAGTTTCCAATAACCTGAGCGGCTGGAGGGACCGGGGGAGACCTAGCTTATCCTCTACTAGCTCTCCGGGCTAGTGCCGGAGATGCCAGCCGCAGTGTCCTGCGACAATGTCCGGACATAGCTTCCAACTTAAAGGGCAACTCACGTGCCCACGCGTCTCTCGCGTCAGGCCCTCAACTAGACCGCTAATAAGACGCGCTAGCTGCTCACGAGACAGACGCCCCGGCCACACCCAACCGGGGCAGACAAACAAGTCCCATAGAGTCTATACCCAAGTCCGGGTCCACCAGAGACGCCTGCAAAGGCGTATCACTGGCGGAGGAACCAGTCCAGAACAGTCGTTTTTAAGAGGGTTCCGAATTCTCCATAGTCACTTCTATCATCCAGTCTTGGTCGATCTTCTAACAGTACCCGTTCAAGTACCTGTGATGCTCTCCAAAGTCGTGGTCGATCATCATCTATTCGAAGCCATACTTCTGTTCGGGAACGGTCACGATTAAAAAGGCGAAGTCGTTCGGCTGACGCACCGTCATCACATTGAACAAGGAAGTGGATGCAAATGTCATATGATGATAGGGATCAATTGTGGTAGGTACCTACCCATCTCGCCCTACGACTGGAACTTGCCGCCCACCCTTTGTTAATTTTCTTGAGTATTTTGACGACGAATCGATGAAAAAGATCTCGATTAGTTAGTATTTTGCATTAATCAATAATAAGTTCATTTTTTGTTATATCTCATGTGAAACATGTGTTAAACTTCAAGTTTCATTAATATAGTTGATTTCGTTGCTTTGTAGGTCGCCTTTTATTCAAAATTTTTATTAAGTCCTAAAAAAACGCTAACGCTTTGGTAAGGTTCGTGACGGGATGCCGTGATCATGATTTTTACAAGGGTTTTGGGAGAGTTTCTTTTTGTATTTTTTTCTTTTTACTAACGGCGTAAATGCTTAAAAAATGCAACATCAAATCCAATCACAAAAAATAAATTTCTCGTGCTGAAAGGGATAATACTCGTGAGTAACAACATCTGGACGGGGAAACTAACCAAGTCCGTATAAATCTCTAGAAAGAGATATACCCCACGGCATCACTCGGAGCACCCCCTCCTGGGCATAATCTACCTGGTAAACTTGGAAGTCTCTAAATAGACTACGGGCCCAAGTCGGCCGAAGCAAGTAGAGCATGCACAACTTTAGGGTTATAGCACTGAGAGCGCATGTATTTGAGGTGTCTCTCCTCAGACCACACCCCGGACACTCTATACAACAGTCGAAAATTATTTACCTACTACTACTACATACAGCAAAGCGCTATCACACGCGCAAACGTGTGCGTGAAGTGGCTGGGTTACCCATTACTTTCTCGCACTATTACGTTACGTGGTCATAGCGGCAACATGGCGAAAATTCTAACGCGAATCTGTTATCTATGATTCTATTAATAGAATCCTAATAATGAAACATGTCTATTAGGTATTTATATCGATATATTATTACATTTTTCATTAATTCACTACCGAGTAATATTGAAGATTTATTTCAAAAATATATTAAAAACATTTAAAATGTTATATTTCGGACCTGTACGACGCCACTGATAACGCTGTGTCAGTCGCTGAGTACGGGTGCTCACAAATATAAACGTTAGAAACGAGACGCGAAGAACAACATAACATCATAATTTATTATTCACTATAAACTTTGTACCTACAACACTTACCATAATCTGCCCAGCGGATCACCTTGAAACTCAAATGCAGTTTAAAATTTATAAAATAACACTGCAATGAGCTAAGGCGTGTTTTAAATACAGTCAACCCTTGGACTTTAATCGTTTATATCTTTGTGATTATGTCTCAAGCATGAATGGCACTGCAACTGTTAGGAACAGGCGCACGACAGGTACCTACGTCTTGGCTCTCGGTATAACAAAAAAAACTCGAAAATAGAGCAAGCGTAGTTCCGACGAAGAACGGCAACACTTTGTTCAAAGGATATAGATACATTACACGAAAGTACAACAAGGTCCAAATTTCAAAATCCAAAGAATTATGAACAACATAATATGTAATATAAAATGTTCTATCGTATTTCATTGGAGCCGACGTAATTATAGGAGCAGACCATGACTCATGTATGCAGAAGTAAAGCGAACGAGATTTCTTATCTAGAAATACTACAAATTATTTTATAAAATTGATTTCTCTCGTTTATACAACAGATTACACTACTCACTATCAAAGTAAGTAAATGCAAAATCTAATTATATAATAAGTTACAGGACCCTTTATTATGTAAATATGACGATTATGAGGTATATTGGCATCAGCTCCTTCTTAATACATTTTATAATTAACCGACTTAAAAAAGGAGGAGGTTCTCAATTCGAGTGTATTTTTTTGTGTGTCTGTTACGCGATTACTCCTTCCCCCACTCCTTTTTTGTTGAAAAGAAGGTACCTCAGTATTGGTCCCATTTCAATTTGAAGAAAATATTCCATTAGTGAGGATGGTCAACTAGGGGATGAATCCGATTCCAATAAAACTTGGCAAATAGGTGTAGGTAATTCCACGAACATTTGAGGTCGCTTTTCGCAACAGCAAATTTCAAAATATATTCGAATGGAGGAGTGACATGAAGTAGAAGTTTTTCTTTTTAATTAATCTATTTGAATAATGTGTTAATAAAAAATAGAAGGACTTGCGATTTTTTATGATACCAAGTTACAGATTACTTAATAGTTAACCAAGTGTCTGGTGTTAAACGATATGCCTGTCCATAACAGCTACAATGCCACTCAGTGCTTTAAATCACAAAGATCGGAGAGGTACTGCCACTGCGCCCGTCACCGTGAGACGTAAGTTGACAAGTCCCATCTAACTTTCGCCTTTCGGCTTAGAGGGGAAAGGGGATAATTTTACTTATTTTTTTTTAGATGTCCTAAAAACCATAACCCAATTTTAGAATATTGAAATTGATTAATGATATTTCAGCTATGCATCGTTAGGGTAAGTTCCGAATAAGTCCAACACGTTAACTAATTAAAAGAGAATTTTGTGCTCTTTTTTTTCTATTTAAAACGGATATTTTACTATTTGTCACTTAGCCACGTTTTAGTCATTGGACGGCAATACTAGCACCCGCTTACCCCTCTCAACCGAAACGCAGTAAAGCTCAAATTACTGATTGGCGGCATATACACTTTCACAAGGAGCTCCACTGCTACTAAAATATAATATCCTACACAAAATTAATACCCAAATTGAAAACAATCTAACAAGAGCACTTAGAATGAGTTTCGGTATACATATTTGCAAATAATCCAACACATCCATGTGAGCTAACTGATAAAAAATGTGACGTAATGGAATATAATTTTACAGAAGCAATTAGACCCGACTACAGTTGTTATTCGTCACAGCACCGTACACTCAAAGTACAATTGGTGGTCGCGCGTGTAAAACATGCGAAATCTATTTTTGGGATCGGTTGTTGCGAATCAATTCAGTTAGTTCGGAACAACATATAATATATAATCAAGATATGTTAGCACATCGGCAATTATCAACGTGTTCTAGTCAAAGTTCATTCGTGCAAACATTTTAAAATGTTATTATTGCCAATTAGTCCTCAGGGGTCGAGTACTATGCTAGCTTTTAGTAGTACTAGAGCTCCGTGTGAAAGAGGAAGTACTGCCACCTCAGACATATATCTAGATATGTCTGTGACTGCCACCTTACCTATTTCTGCCGCCAAGCAGTAGTGTGAACATCACTGCATTCCGATTTTGAAGGGTAAGGGTGCTGGTGAAATCACAGTGACATGAAACTGACGACAGATAGTCGTGCAGTTTAAAATGTCGTGGCTTGTATATTTAAATGAACTTGTTTACATATAGCACAACACAATTAACTGTCGTTCAGGACTTCTTTACGACGACAGACTGTCGTGACAATGGAAAGGCCTCGAACGAGTCGTCTATCGAATAAAACGTCACGATAAAAATGTGACGACAGATAGATCGCAGCTACAAACGATTCTGTCGTGCAAATGACAAGGCGGCTGCCGTGAACCGATAAATTGTTGTCACGATCTAGTGAGAACAACTAGACACGACAGTCGTTCAACGATAAAACAAACGTCCCCGACACAGTCACCACAGATAGTAGTGATATGGGAACAGGCTAGACGCGACCGTCGTCCAACGATAAGTCAACACATAACAACATAATGGGCACGCATCAGGCGCAGTGACAGTGTCCCTCAGATTTTCGCGATTTAAAGCTCTGAGTGGCACTGCAACTGCTATAAGCAGGCGTGTCGCTCAACACTAATTTTTCAAATAATAAAGCTAGTTGAGGAAATCACAGATCCTATTCCCAGCAGAACCATTTCGTGAAACGGATTTTTCTACATTGGTTCTGGTCTGGGTGTTCTGGCTATGCCCTGGAGTGAATTGTGCCGCTCTGGTCCTCATAGGACAGGGAATTCCCTAATTTAAGACCAGTAATAGTAATTTAAGGTTGGTATTTTGGTTCAGTAATTCTAATTACCTATGTCTATGTCTGACATGGTACCCTAGTCAAAATCAGAGTAGACCTCTCCTCCTCAGTTAAACTAAATTGTGAGTAAATAGCAGAATTAAGCAACACTATTAAGTGTTTGTCATGTAATTTGCTTATTTCTCTTTAATGGAGTAAATCAAAATGTAAACAAATAGCGTTCCAGTTGAAAATTAAATTTAAATATTTGGAAATAAAGTTTTAATATTAATTAAGTTAACTAGTTTGTATGCCATATGATATATGCTATATTATACCATATGAAAATCATAAGCGTCAAAGTTACTAGCTATGCCAATGATGTTTCTTTAAATCGCAAAAACATAGCAATGTAGAAAGTAGGAACGAAAATGAGGTTTTTTGCGCATAAAAATGTCAATATGATATTAAGACGCTTCCTTCAAATGTTAAATCAATACAAATAGAGAAACCTTGTAGATACGACATTTTAAGGCATTAACAGACTTGTATGACAAGTAAAGGCAGTTATATAAGGAGGCATTGAAGCAAGACATTGGCAGTGAATGAGATACAAAAATAACCTCACATGTTCATCACATGGTCTGAACACTGCCAATAACCAACAGATGCAAGGTTATATTTGGATTGCTTGATTATGATAATGTTACACCTATAACGCCTTCTACAGGTGAGAATACAGTGACAAACCTTAAATAGTAGGGTTTTAATTCTAATCCAACTTTCATTTTGAACACTTCATTTTAAAATTCAATATAATAAAAAAAATTATGATAAATACTCTAAGTTTTTTTATAGAAAAATAAGTACACATTTGACCTCCATCTCACCTGATGGAATGTCACAATGGCCTAAGAAACAATCTTCGACCTACAATACAATAAACTCACTTTGGACCTTAAATGGTTAGACTATTATTGAGAACAATTATGATCTTCTTACTATTAATATTTTAATCTTGGTACTTGGTACTTGGTGTAACGGGCTGGTGTCCGCAACTCGACGACAAGGCGCCTATTTTGCGTGTGGTAATATTTTAATATTAAACAAATACTATTTTTAGAAAAATATTTTTTTACATATTCAAAATAAAAAACATATAAATTAGTAATAAAACCATTTGTTACTAACTTTGCACTGGGTTTCTTGTCCCTAATAAAATAAAATTTTGTATGAACTTAAAATGACATTTCTCAAAACATTGTAACATTACATAAACAATAAAATATATTTATGCACATTAAAATATATTGCTTGGAAATTGAAATGGGTTATGTCATTTTTTTTTTGCTAGGCTAATATTCATAATTATGATTACTGTATAATGTACCACGTAAGGAGTTTAAGTCAGAGAGCAACCAAATCCAATCCTGAATTAATTTGCATTTAATAATTAATTATAAAAATACATACCACATTTGGAGGAAGTTTGTGCCCGGGCAAATATTTAACGTTCTCGTGTGTTTCATTAATAATTTCAGTGAGCTTCTTGCCCTCTATCATCTCCTCGTACACCCACATGGTCACAGTATCCTCGAAGTTCGGTAACCGCGCTGCATTTCGCCCGACTATTTTTGCTATGGCTGATCCCCTGCAAAGAAACTACATTCTAATATGCACCAAGAGTGTCTTTAAGGCATACTCTACCATCTCGCACCGATATAATGTTCTAATTAGTGTCTTATTAGTCCTAATCGAAGAGTAAACAAACTATTGCAGCATTTGGTGCATCAAAGAATGAAGGTTGTTATGTCATCGGCACCCCAGGAAGGTCACAACAGCTGCAAATGCATTCATATGGGTGAGCTAAACACGATAAATCACACTAAAACTCATAATAATCCTTACCAGTTCCCGGAACCAATAACACACACATTCATTTTCAAAAGGCACTCTGCCATTATGGATCACAAGTTTTTTAAATCGTACACAGTAGTAAAACTAACAAGCGGTCGCTCTACGCCGCTGTGACGAAGCTACTGATATTGCAAGCCCGAAGTCCTACACAAAACCAATGATAAGTTGACGTCGCGTAATCACACACTATCAAATCCAGCGAGACATTGTATCATCATGTCTTTGGCGTGATAAAAGATAACTAAATTAATACACATTATACGGCTAAATAAAATTTCATTTTTTATGCATGCATTCGCTATGCATCTCTTTTTAATTTGTTCTACATAACGTAAATGAAAGAGAGGAATATAGTTTTTAAGATAGCTTCTAAATTGTGTTAGATATACAATTTTGTCTATGGTCTCTATTGAAATATAGACTGAAAAGCAGGTTGTCACTGCCAAGTTCCAATAAAAGTAAAAACGGCTACGTGTGTGTCGGTTAATTTTAAAGAATTCCGTACATATAAATACATACAGGTAAATAGATTACTGTTGTAGCAAAAGGTTACATTTAAAAATATACATAATTATATTTTTAAATACTATATAAGCAGACATACCTTTTGTTAGTAGGGTTAAAACAAATTTGGATATAACATATAATTAGGGTGGACGTTTAAACGAAAAGCACTTAAAAAGGTCTGCTTTTTAAAATAAGCGCATAAGCACGCTTTCCATTTTAAGCGTAAGCGTTATCACTGGTCAGTTCTATAGATACTCAACAATTTCAGTTATAACAACGTGCCTATCTATGTTTTTTAACAAATTAATTCAGCATAACGTTGCAAGATTTTTTAAACATAAAGTCTATGCTCTTAAACGTTTTTCTAACCCACTTTTTAAGCGTCAAACTAAAAAGCGTTTACGTGAAAGCGCTTTTATAAGCACACTTTTTAAACGTACTTTTTAACGTTAACAAAATAAGCAATTTTTACATTTCAACGGTTAACAAGTACAAAAGTTAAACAACTTATTTATATGTTTTTGAACGCTTTTAAATACTAATGAACAAAATGTTAATATAATAATGTTGTGTCATAAAAAAAAATATAACTCGTTTTCTACAAAAAACTTATCTTAAAACCTTTAGTGGTCTGCTCTTGCGTTTCGCTATCAACACAACGTTGCAAGCTTTTTTTAACATAAATGTCTATGCGCTTAAACGTTTTCTAAACGGTTTTGTTAGCTTCAAACTAAAAAGCGTTTTAGTGAAAAAGCGTTTAAAAAAGCACACTTTTGTAAACAAGTATAACGCTTAAGCGTTTAAAAAAATAAACAGTTTTTCCCATCTGTACATATAATTTCCGGACAGTCAGTCCGTGACCATGACCAGTGCAACCTGGCCAAAACGGCAGGAAAATAGGTTGGTGCACAGATTATTAGATGCTGGCTGGTGTGAAAATACCCTTTAGTGTCTAAACGCATTAATTCCCGTTTTCAAATGTTACATATGTATATGCATCCCCATATTAAGAACAAGTAATAACACTTGAGTCCGCCACGTGGCAGTCCAGCATGGTAACCGTTCGGTCACGGAGACAGTTGAATGTAAAATATACAAGGAAAAACGTTTTAGGTGAACTTATAGCAACTGCAACGGTTAAATCATAGTTATTAAATATATACATTAGGTTGATGGCGGCTTTCATGCTACATTTTAACGAGCAAAATACGACGCATGGTAGTTTGAATTGTAACCTACCATTATCAACTACCATAGTAATTATTGTTATAGTATAATTGTTATTGTATGTGTTTTTCGAATAGAAGAGAGTACATAGAGACACATAAAGTATCAAAGTAAATAAACAAAATACTGATTAAATAGTGAATGTTTTCAATTCTCAGATTTTTATTAATTTGTTTTTGTTCTTATTAAAATAATTTTAATTTTTTTTTTATGTCAAATCTTTAAGGTGTGGTCAAGAGCACGTCAAGCTTGACACTTAAGACTTAAATCCATCTCTATGCCGCTTACGATTAGAACGGTCTAAAGTACATACAAAGTGTCAAGCTTGACGTGCTCATGACTGTACCAAGTTTATTTACTTAGTTTTTTTATATTTAGTATTCTAATTTAGAGAGCCCTAATCTGTTGTTACAGTCACAAAAGTCACAACAGGATTCATTGTCTTTGCTCGGCGGCACAAATTAGACAGATATAGTAGGAACAGACAGGAAACAGGCCCTATAACTGAACGTTCGTAGAGGTAGTTCGGTGTCCCGTGACAGCTGGCTGGTGGCGCTAGTGTACCGAATAGTGACGCGCCTCAAACCTTTATGGAACGGTTACTATTAGTGATGTCCTATATCGCACTTTTACGGACAAAATTACGGTTTCATCGGTCCTAGTTACTTTTTCATATTGCTAATGTTTTGTGGTTTAAAATAAAATACTGTATTTTCAGTTATATCTGTTTATTAATAACGAAAGCTACTACCGTTCCGTAAAGGTGTTAACGCATGGAAGAAGAAACGGCGAAAGAAACTCCCAGCAACATATCTTTTGAATCTAACAATTAATGAATGATAACAAAACACAATTATTAAACAAAGGGTCGCTCGGCAGATTAGAGCACATAAGTCAAAAACCAACATCATTCGTTTATAGTAATACATCCACCGACTAAACACAAAGTCCAATTAATTTTTACATTAATTTGCCATTTAAATTCTAGAGGCGTCTTTTTCAGATTTATCATTCTCTTCGCATCTTCCAACATTAGAAACAATAAGAAAATATATAATTATATATGAAAAGATTTGTAGTGAAGTAAACATAACGATCAGTTTTTTTTAAGTTATCGGACTCACAGTAGTAATTATAAAAATCATTTGTGCAAAATTCGATACACCAACAAAATTATTACATATTAAATGCGGAAAAGTACATAGATAAATTATCACTAAATCTTTGAAAACACCGAGAAATCACATTATCATGTCACATTGTCGTATTAAACCATCGAGCATGTTAAACTAAGTAACATCACTTTTATTTTTGTCAGTCGATACGTTGAATATTGTGTGTGTGGTCTGATTTCTGTGGTCCTTTTTCTTTTCCGGGTCACCAACTCTGCATTTATCTGCAGTGGTATAGCATAAGTATGATCTCCCACTGTCCGAACAGCTAAAATGTAAGAAAAATAACTTATAAGTAATATCTTATTAATATAATAAATGTATCTGTAGCCACCAAACCACTGAATACTTACAGACAGTTACAGGACAAGTGGGTTTTCGACATGCTATTTCCACTTCTGAGAATAATGTAGGCCATGAGAAAGGCACTCTTTTATCATCTTTGATAAATTTATCCTCAACGTGAAGTTTGCAAACCTAAAATTTAATAAATTTTGTTGATATAGTGCTTACATTTCAAAATACAAATATTGAATGCCTTTTAAAACAATTTAACATTTCAAATATATATTTATCTCTCATGTTTTTTAAGGCTTCAAGTTATATGAGGCATTTGTGTTACTTCCTTAGAATCACCGAGAATATTAGGAGTCTTGAAATAGGGATTAGCAATTTGAAACTCTATTATTAGGCAATGATGGAAATACTTGTTTTAAAGTATGTTGAAGGCTAAGGCACGTATCTTGTTTGGTTCTCCTAAAACATTCATTCTCTACCATTTTGAGTGTGCCACGATTATCATTAAAAATCGTTATAGGTTCTCAGGCTGCTGTACGTGAGTTCGAATAAAAACATTTTTAAAAACTTTGCCTCTTTTGCAGAACTTTCAAGAGCATAGTATTTAGCTTCAGTGCTAGAACAAGCCACATTGTTGTTGTTTGTAACTGTACAAATTTGACTGAAACTAAATATGACTTTCAAGCAGTCTTATCCCCAGCCCAATCTGCGTCAAATGAGATTTCAACTTTACTACTACCTCTACTAAAATTGAGTTCGTAGCTAGTTGGAACTGAGCAACTTATATAGCATATTTTTTTGGTGTTTATTTGAACTAAATATGAAGAAGTCATTATTATAAAGTACTATGATGGCCTTGTCTTTGTAATAGACACACTTATCAGTCTTTAATTGAGTATAGCCATTGGTAATTAAAACTTTATGCACTTTTCATTCCAGGTTCTACTGGCTTGTTTGAGTCCATATAAACTCTTCTTGAGTAGACAAACTTTACCCCTCAATCTCAAATTCAGTAGGTTGCTCCCTTAGAATAATAACGCATAGAATGATAGTTTCATATCAAACTAACTGTCACAAGTGAGGCAAAAACCGAATTCATGTAGGCGTAAGCAACTTGTATCTACGCACGTCGGCACGCACACAAATATACAAATAATGATGCCATGGAATAACATTTCCCTCAAAAGTGGGAAAATTGTATCTTGCGCAACTCATCATTAAGTTAAAGGTGCCTACAGATTTGCCCGTTTTTGTCGATCGATAATGTCGATCAGGTGCCTACAGATATGCTCGGTTTTGTCGATCGTTACTGTCGATCGACAATGTCAAGTGAAAAGAATTTTTAAAAATTTATTTTTGGTAATCCCTATGGAAGTAGCATTTATATCTGAATACACGATGACGGACACGACTTTTCAAATAAATGCAATATGGTAGCCATTTTCGAGGTATTCGAGGTGCTCATTACGAATATGGCACTCATTTCTAAATCCAAGATGGCGGTCACGATTTTTCGAATAATTGCAAGTTGGGTATCGTTTTTAAGGTATTTGGGGGTGCTCATTACAAATATAGCATTTATTTCTAAATCCAAGATGGCGGACACGAGATTTCAAATAAATGCAATATGGGTATCATTTTCGAGGTATTTGGGGATGCTCAATGTGAATATGGCAATATTTGTAAATCTAAGATGGCGGGCACGATTTTTCATATAATGGCAAGTTGGGTATCGTTTTCGAGGTATTTGGGGGTGCTCATTACGAATATTGCTTTTGTTTGAACTGTCGTGTCTGCCATCTTGGATTTGGAAATGAGTGCCATATTCGTATTGAACATCCCCAAATATCTCGAAAAGGATACCCATATTGCATTTTTTTTTTAATTGTGTCCGCCATCTTGGATTTAGAAATAAGTACTATATTCGTAATGAGCACCCCCATATACCCCGTAAGCGGTACACAGAATCAAAATCAAAATAATCTTTATTTCATAGGTAAGCTTTATTACACTAGAAGTCGTCACATTGGTTAAACTCTACCGCTCATTCGTAAGGCAGATTCCCCCGAGAAGTATGAGCAAGAAACTCTAGGAGTTGCTCTTTGTAAACAACATTTGTACGCATTTAACTTGCAGAAATGGAAGTCAAATGCACACCTACATTAGAATTAAAAAAATCTGCAGTCGTCGCAATATTGCCTATTCTCAAAAAATTACATAATATAATTATTTTGAAACAGAATAGCAAAATTGGGAGAAAGAAATCCGTTACTTCGCAACATTTTCGTGTCTTGTTGCAACGAAATTAATTTTCGGTTTTAGTGAATATTTATATAAAAATACAAGTTGAAACGCGTTACTTCCTTGTGGAACGTGATGATAGTGTCTATTTTATGTTTGCCTGTTCTATTTTTACACCCATTTACCGCACATTTCGTCATTATTAGCAAAAATTTGTGACCTGTTCGCGGTACAATTTGACCTTGAGCACTGACAGCCCGCCCGCTCGTGTGGGCCCTTTGGGAAGCCTCTAACTTGCTTCACTTAGCGCGTGCGAGCTAGGTTTCTATGCGTTATTATTCTAAGGTTGCTCCATGCAAATGCATTCATTACGATCTCCATTAAGGAATGCCGTATTAATGCATTCGTTGATTATAACAATCTTTGGGCATGCAGGTAATCGTTCAGCCACCGAGATCGCTCTTGCTGTGCACAAATTAGAAAGATATTTGCTGTGTAAAATAACTCACATAGGCATGCCTATGAATGCGGTTCCGGTGCGTAAGCGACGATTTTAATCTTGAGCTTAGAGACCTTAGGAGGTCTATCCATACTCATTCCAGATCTACACTGCGAGGCCACCGGCACAGGTTTGCTGTTTCCGATGTGGATGAACAGCCGTCGACGAGGCACCTGTGAACACGAGACTTATCTCTGAAAACACAATAAGAAACAAAACAAACCAATAAGTTGAAATTGCAGAAGTCCTACGCCAACAAGCTGGTCGCTGATTGTTTCTGCAACAAATAATAAAAGTTTTATTAGAAATAGTCAGTAAATCTTTCCCTCGAAAAGCGAAAAGAAAATCTCAGAATTCTAGGAAGGAAAATTAACGGTCTAATTTTTTTTAATGTCGAATCGGACTTGTCGTTATTATGATCTCAAAATTAGATTTTTTTAATGTAAAATTTATTAAAGTTTTAACTATTAAAAAAACTTATTATAACAATAAGTTTAACACGTCAATTTATTATGCATTTTAAATAATTTACATAATTTCATTCCAAGAGTTGCCGATTCTTTATTAAATTGTTAGATATACTTCATTTTTAATCTGTGTTTTTTGTGTTAAACACCTTGGGCCTCGTAACGTCCAACTAAATAAGACCTCCTACCCATTACGTAAGTTTGATATTTAGGTTCTGAATAAAATGGATGATTAGGATGATCTTCAATGGTCAGTTCAAATACTAGAGTGTTTCCGTAGCGTGCGCAGCAGCGATGGCAGCAGGTAGTGGTCAGATTATTGTTAGATAATTTTCCGAAAAAATTCAATTAGTGGAAGTTTTTCCAGAAAAATTGGAAAAATATAATTTGAAACGCTTTTTATTTAGCGTGAATTATAAAATAAACTTGTTTGGCTAAAAGCATTGACTTACAAATAAATGGACGACGGGTCTAATACAAAAACCACGAAAAAAATGTCCCAAGTCAACCTATTCGAAATTTAAATTGTTATGTCATCGCACTATCGCGCTGTCCGTAGAACAAATGAAGACTAAAGCGGAGTGTCGCGCTCTGTATACGATTTTAGCGCCTTACAAGTGCGGACACTTTTTAGCGCGGACCCGACGTCCATATAATTGTAAGTCAATGGCTAAAAGCCACTTAACAGAAAAACGAGATTTTAAAATTATTCACAACATCGAAAAACTCCAACAACCACACCACCACCACTTGTTGTTGGCTCCATCATTTTCGATACAGTACCAATCAAAACTAGTTAAAGTGATGATCACTGAAGTTGACGTTTCGCAGTTGCTAACCATAGATAGAAATTACGAATATGCATTTTTGACACAAGGTAGTTAAGCACTTTATTCGGTGATTATCATTATAAGCTGTCAGTTGAGTTACGCAATAGGCCTGCAGTACGTACATTCAACTTTTGACGTCAAATGTGAAAAAATAAAGGAAAAATTATTTATTTCTCTGAAAAATATCATTTTTCAAAATGGAATTTTTTTCCATTACAACACTGGGTCAGACTGTCAGGTAGCGTTTTCGATACATTACTTGCTCAGTCAGTAGAAGTGGAAACTATTACATGCTAAACCGATTACTTGTTCAAATACGATTGGTGGTTGCGCATAGCTTTTGTCTCTTTTACTTGCCTTTGCACTAACTTGCGAGACAAAGAGGCATAGATATTCTTTTAAATTTGTCGTATTCTATTGTTCCATGGATTTTGTAGAATTTTCTCGAAAAAGCCTAATTTGATTGCCATCTACATCGTTTTCATTGTTCAACACGTCAAACGTCATTCATTTCTGGTGTGAGAAAACCGCATCGAGTGATTCGTGGAGTGCTGTGAAATTCGTGTTTCTGGAAGTTTTCGTATACATTAATTACTTGATACATTCGTTCATCATTATTACAGAATAAAGTAAGTTCTAATTTGCTATGAAATAATACTTCTAGAATAAGGTAAAATATGAAATTTGTAGATTTAAACTAGTTTCCTTCCTCGTGTTACTAGATTATTCTCCCCGTCATCGTTAGATCGATTGAGTCGTCGTTGGGTTTCGCAAAAAAATATTTGTAGAAATGTTAAGAGATGTGTGAAAGTACGCTAGGGGACGTCAAATTATGATGGCTATTAAAAGGAATCAATATTAACCTATTTGTAGCATTATACCGCGTTGCAGTTCGTAATCATAACTTATGATCAACTTAGTCGTTCTTAAAAGTAGAGGTAAATTTTGTAGACGTAGTTAAATTCTACGGTGATGATATTGTAATGTAATGGAACCTAATTAAATTGCTGAGATTATTTACGAACGACAGTATTTGTTATCATGTGCGATATATCTGTCTGTCAAGATTGACGTAAAAATAGTTTTGTTAAGAACTAACATAGATAATATTGGGCAGAGAGAGAGAGAGAAAATAGAGAGTGTGAGGCGGATGAAAGTTTCATCATTAAACTCCGGTGCATCTCCTCACCCGGTGCTGCTCCCTGAGGGGTGTACGAAGTTCCACACTGGTACGACAAAGGCCACAATTACTGGATATAAAAATTGTCAAGAAAGTCCTTCAGTTCTTTAATGCTGTTGATCTTGGCTCTGAAAGCTATCCAAAATAATAATATCATAGATAGTTTTAGAAGTGAACTTGTTCAAGTGTCATATTGATGGTTAAGAGGCAAAACCCAATACGTATAATGAGTTAAATACTAATACTAATTAATAATATTAATGAACACATTAAAGTGTACTTTTCTGAAGTGGAATTCAAAACCCAGAAGTAATACAAAAGAATTTAATTGCAAATCTGTTAATTTTATATAATTGAAAAGCACTACAAAAGTAATGCATTAGATAATTTTTTTATCATAAAAAATTTTTCATAGTAATTTGTGTGTAGTTTGCTTTATCATGACAATCTATTGTTAGCTGTATATACATTCTACTTGAAATTAATGTACACTATTCAACCTGTCAATGGTAGCATACAATCAACTACCTTTTTTTATGTCATAGATAATGGTTTTTATTGTTTGCATTAGTCAGCCAGATTTGTCTTCATACATACACAACAATCCATTCCACTGGTTTCATTAAAACCTTTGAATATAAGCAAAAGCAGTTGATAATCATCACAAAATTTTGAATTTCGTTAAACAGGGACCAAAAATGGTGAAGGAGACCACATACTATGACATTCTTGGGGTGAAACCCAACTGCACTACAGACGAACTGAAGAAGGCATACAGAAAACTTGCCCTCAAATACCACCCTGACAAGAATCCTAATGAAGGAGAACGTTTCAAGCAGATCTCTCAGGCTTATGAGGTCCTATCCAACCCAGACAAAAGAAGAGTTTATGATCAAGGTTTGACTTTTGTAATTATTGTACTAAGTTAGTTATTGTGAGCAGTGAGTGAGATTCTATTTTAATAGTAGTAATATTTAACATTGTTTCTAGAATACACAGTTAAACATCCACTGTTTGCAAGAATAGCGTGTCTTAAGTCAGTCTCAACTTTCACTACACTTGATATGTAATAATGTTATGTTTTATTGTGAAACGTTAGTTTAACAATATTAAAATACAACATATATGTATCTACATATCTAATTTGCTTTGCACTATAATAACTATATGGTAATTATTTAAAATTAGGTGGAGAACAAGCACTTAAAGAAGGTGGTGCTGGCTCCAGTGGCTTTTCATCACCAATGGACCTATTCGACATGTTCTTCGGCGGTGGATTCAGTGGTGGGCGGCGCCGCGGCCGCGAGCGGAAAGGCAAAGACGTCATCCACCAACTATCAGTCACACTGGAGGAACTATACAGAGGAGCGGTCAGGAAACTTGCTTTGCAGAAGAATGTCATTTGTGAGAAATGTGAAGGACGGGGCGGCAAGAAGGTTTGTTTTGTTTACTGTTGTGGTTTTTTCAATTCTTTTTTGTTTGCTATGGTTTCTTGGGTGATAACAAATATTATTTTTCAGTACAATAAGTGTCCCATTAAAATGGTCTACACATGTACAGGTTTATGAAAAATCACTGTTCTTATGAATACATGAGTGGGTCTTACAATTTTATAAAGTTTTCAAAATTTAATATCTACTTTTTCAATAAAGTATGCAGATACAGGTGCTGTGTTGTAAAAAATCAAAACATAAATCATCATTTTCTATTTTTAAATACAGAAGTTAGCAGAACTACTTACTCCCACTTGACTAGGCGCAATGCCAATAAGCTACTAACTCCAGAGTGCGCATTCCCTTACTGTAATGTGTGACCTACTTTTACTGTAGAACTTTATAGAAATTTCCGTCTTGAACATAATCATTACTTAGAAGGTCAATTGCAACATCAATCATAGGCAAAGTTAATAAAAGAGAAAGGTGGATGGTGCCAAACAAATAACATATTCGTATTGTTTTAGCTATCACTGATGCTAGCCCAGGCAAAGTAATTAAATTTATGATTGATTTAAGTCGAGTTTTTCGAAAGATGAAACGAAGATGACAAAAACTTATGTCTGAGACTCATTCAGTTATTGTTTTCTTCATTTATTTAGTGCAGTGCAGAGTACCATTACTTACTAGACGCCATAACTTCGTGAGCTAGTAGACAAAGGTTCTCGGATTTTCAATTTGTATTGCCGATGCCGACAAATATTACGCAGTGAATATACCTAATTATTAACTAGGTAATGATAAACTTGGACACGCAATTTCAATACCTTAGTTACTTTATTTAAAACTAGGTACCTGTCCAAAATACAATATTTCAAGTGCTGTTAACATATTTTTTAAATAAATCTTCAGTATTATTCTAGTTAGTGAATTAATGAAAAATATAATATCGATATAAATACCTAATGAACATGTGTGATTTTTAGGATTCTATTAATAGAATTAAAGATAACAGATTTGCTTAAGAGTGTTTGCTATGTGGCCGCTGCCACGTAACGTAATTGTACGAGAAAGTGATGGGTAACCCTGCCACTTCATGCACACAGTTGCGCGTGTGCAGATGGCGTCTTACTGTATGTAGTAGTAGTAGGTAAATAACTTTCGACTGTTGTATGGAGTGTCCGGGGTGTGACTAAATTTTTGAAGTAGGTTCTGTTTGTGGTTTGACAGTATTTTTTTGATAGATTTAATTGAGCATATAAATAAATAAATAAATAACCCAGAAACAAAAATTCTATTTGCCAAGTTTTATTGAAATTCCCCTAGTTCGCCACTATACAGGACTTGACACAGGGATAATAAAAATCGGTTATCACTACTCAAAGTATATTGAGAGAGAAATACGCCTTGAATTGGAGAATAGCAAAATCAACTATTAAAATAATTGCTCCTTATAATAAAATTTAGGCGCTATTATAAAAATGAATCTTCATGCTTGTGGATGATTTTCTTCAAAATGAAATGGGACCACTATGGAGGTACCCTCTTTCCAACAAAAAAGAATCATGAAAATCGGTTCACAAATACCGGAGTTATCGCGTAACATACATACAAAAAGTGTGTGTAGTGTTTCAAATTCAGTGAATAAAGTTCTTTCTTTCTTTCTTCTTTCTAAAAAAAACATACAGTTGAATTGAGAACCTCCTCCTTTTTTTGTAGTCGGTTAAAAAACATAACCCATTTGAGACAGTTGGGTGAAAAAGAAATCGTAATAAAACTTATAACGGCATGTTGACGGCTCAAGGGAATACAGTGATTGACAACCATTTGAATTGATTTGCCTAGTAATTGCAGTGTTTTATAACAATAATAAATTGCGCAAACGTTAACTTACACGACAGCCGTGTAATGAAAACATGCTTTTGCATGGTGGTGTATTGAAGTTACTCAAACCACTCTCCAACATTTTTCGCGAAGAGCACTTTCTTTAATTGAAAAATAATGAAAAACTATATCGTACGGCGAATTAAATTTTTTTATGATTTTTTGTTTTGTTCATAATATACAGGGTTATTTGCAAAGTTTTAACAGCCTCGCATATTACTAAAACAACTTTTGTTCCATGACTTTTAATAATTCAATATATTTTACTTTCATACTGAAATAAATAGATCAGCAGTGGCGTAGCGTGGGGGCTGCAGAGGGAGCCATGGCCCCGGGCGGCACAGTAACGCAGCGAGCGCGTCCGACCCCAACTAATCAAAAACTATTTGTTTTACTAAAATTGCACTGTTTGAAAAAAAACGATAATCCGGAACACCACAAAGGTGGCGACGTCAGACGAGTATAAAAACACAATCAAGCCGAGCCTGCCCGAACGAACTACTTGTGTAATCGTGAAAATAGAGGGACAGCAATATTAAGGTTGGCAGAAAATGACGCTTACGCCACTGAAGTAGATCGCTCTATACGTTAATAACTCTGTGCAGGACGGGGGTGGGGTCGTCGCGGAGGACGCTTCCACATTTGAACTTATTCTGCCAAATAAAAATCTAAAAAGTGTCAGATAGTACAACAAAAATTTTAAAGTTTACTTTTGGTCAATTTATTATTGATTATGATGTTTTGTAACGTATTCCTGCAAAGTTGTTTGTATTTTAAAAGTAACCCTGTATAAATAACTAAATTAAACCCACTCACAGTACCTGAAAACCTGATTGACGAATCCTTGATATAACTTTGGTTGCTATTGATTGTAAGTGGTAGATCCAAGTGATCAAGCCGGTTTTCACCGCTTCTTTGTTCTCCTGTAAAATGTAAGCTTAGATATTATTATCACTTATTCCCTTTTTCTTTTATATCCAACCAACATATTTCACGGAGTTTCTTTTTGTTAAGTATTATTTGGAGTGACACTCGCTTAGGTTAGTTGCACGCTTCCATCAATAATTTCGATTAAATCAACTCAATTGTATCCTTCAGGGTGCAGTACAGACGTGCCCGACGTGTCGCGGCACAGGTATGCAGGTGCAGATCCAGCAGTTGGCGCCTGGCATGATACAGCAGATTCAAACCGTCTGCAGCGAATGCCGCGGACAGCGTGAAATCATCGATCCTAAGGACCGCTGCAAAGTTTGCCAGGTATACATCTGTAAATGACACTGATCTCCTCGCGTTAAGACTCACATTATAAACTGACATTATGACTCACACTGAAAAACAGTATGTTTGTATTGGAATTTTAAATATAACTGACCAAGTACAATAATGTAGTACAATAATAATGGATGGAATACTACATCCCGCATTCGGATCTCGTCAGTAAAGGGAGGCGCAACCGCTGGTTCAACCGCGAGTGTGCTGTGGCTGTTGAGAACAAACAGACTGCATACCGCGCTTGGATCAGGGGTCTAGCTTCAGACGATCCCAATACGAACTCACTTAAAACAGCCTACAATAATGCCACCAGGTCTTGCAAAAGAGCGTACATCAGAGCGGATGCTCAGCGCGTCGCACGAGTTGGCCAAGAACTCTTGACGCATCCCACAGGTAGTCGTAGCTACTGGCGTCTGGCCAGAGCCGTTGCGTCGAACTTCTGCCAGCCCTCGCTGCCACCGCTGAGATATTCTGACGGCAATCTAGCCCACAAGCCGCAAGATAAAGCCGACCTCTTGGCAAATCTGTTTGCGGCTAACTCCTGTCTCGACGACTGTAACGCACAGCCACCAACTCTACCTCACTGTGGCTACACGATGTCTGATATTCGTATCAGACAATGCGATGTGCGTACGCAGCTGCAGTCTCTCGACGTCCGGAAAGCTAGTGGTCCTGATGGTATCCCAGCGATTGTACTTAGGAATTGCGCAGCTGAGTTGACTCCCGTGCTAACGCGACTGTATCGTCTGTCGCTCTCTTCAGGTCGTGTGCCGGACTCTTGGAGAGAGGCTAATGTGCAACCAGTTCCCAAAAAAGGCGACCGATCAGACCCGCATAATTACCGTCCCATAGCCATTACTTCCATAATATGCAAGGTTTTAGAGCGGATCCTTAATAAACAACTGACCCAATACCTAGAAGATCACTCCATAATTAATGATCGGCAGTATGGGTTTCGTCCGAAACGATCAACGGGTGACCTTCTAGCGTACTTATCGCATATTTAGGGTGAGGCTATAGACAAACGTGGCGAATCGTTGGCTGTTAGCCTCGATATAGCCAAAGCGTTCGATCGGGTCTGGCACAAAGCTCTTCTCTCCAAGCTCCCGGCGTACGGTTTGCCAGCCCAGTTATGCAGCTGGATTGCCGATTTCCTTCGTGAGCGGAGAATTCGCGTCGTTTCTGACGGCAGCATTTCGAGGTTCGTGAATGTGAACGCCGGCGTACCGCAGGGATCCGTCCTATCTCCCACGCTTTTCCTTCTGCATATCAATGATATGCTTCCACTTGGGAATATTCATTGTTATGCAGATGATAGCACTGTTCATGGGGGATATCATGGATTCCCCGCAGCTGGGCGCGCCGATACTGACAGAGAGCGATCTGATCTTGTCGTTGAGCTCAATAGGATATTGGACCTCATATCTGCATGGGGATCCAGTAATCTTGTTGAGTTCAACGCCAAGAAAACACAGGTTTGCGCGTTAACAACAAAATTGTCGCCGTTCCTTCCCATGCCTTCTCTGATGAGCACAGCACTTTCACCTCGGAGCAGTTTCACCTTGCTCGGTATGGAAATCTGCTGTGATTTGAATCCAAGGAGCTACATCGAATCTGTGATCAAAACAGCCTCACGGAAACTCGGAGTCCTGAACAAGGTGCGACGTTTTTTCACGCCGGACCAGTTATGCCTGCTGTACAAAACACAGGTCCGGTCTTGCGTTGAGTATTGTTCGCACTTGTGGGACGGCTCCGCCAAGTACCTACTCGATGCCTTGGATAAATTACAGCGTCGTGCTACTCGAATTATAGGCGACGAAGAGGTCTCATCACGCCTTGAACCTCTGCAACTGCGTAGAGATGTTGCATCGCTTAGCGCCTTTTACCGCATGTACCATGGTGAGTGCTCTGAGGAGCTGTTCAACCTCATCCCCCCTTCCCCGTTCCTGCTCAGAAGCACGCGTGCTGGCCTTCGTAGTCACCGTTTCACTACCTGCCGCATTCCATCGCGTACTAAAAGGTTCGGTGGCTCCTTTCTCTGCCGCACGGTTGACAAATGGAACTCCCTTCCGGCACATGTCTTCCCTCCCTCTTATGATATGGGGTCCTTCAAACGAGGCGTGAAGAGGCATATTGTAGGCAGGCAGGGTGGAGGCGGCTAGTGCAGTGAGGATTCCATCGCTGCACTAGGTTCCTTCGCGTTTGGATACCACTTTCCACTTAACATCAGGTGGAGTGGAGTCATTTGCCTGTCAGGTATAAAAAAAAAAAAAAAAAATTACGTGATAGGTGAATCACTGTGGACTAAGTTTAAATTTGTCAAAATGTAATTATTTCTATTATTTCTATAACTTGAACAGCGTTAAAAATGCATCATAGTGATAATGGAATAACACATTCTAGGGCCGTAAAACCGTGCGTGACCGTAAAATCCTTGAGGTGCATGTAGACAAGGGCATGACTGACGGACAGAAGATCGTCTTCAGCGGAGAGGGCGACCAGGAGCCTGACATGGAAGCAGGAGACCTTATTATTGTACTAGACGAGAAAGAACACGATGTAAGTATTGCTTTTATGTCATTTGTGTATGTTCAAAATGTTTTCTTATTATTAAGCCAGTAAGACTTTTGTTTTTCAGATAGAGAACTCGTAAATTATTCACAAAATTTGAAATTATTTATATAGATTAGTGACTTCTGAAAGTATAGTTTTAATTTAAATTTTACCTAGTATGGGCACCAGTCTTCCGTCAGTAAAATGTTACATTTTGTATATGTCCTTAGATTTATTATATTTATTATTATTATTAAATACAGCGAAATAGTGACGTTATTGGAATTGCCGTTAACAACTGTAGAAAGAACGAAGTATTTTCTATAAATTTTGAAAAGTAAAAAAAGAAACCTATGAAAACAAACTTATTAACAAGTTTTTTTTCCATACTTTTACCATTTTTCTCAAATGAACAACGAATTATGGAATATAATAATAAATTCACATTCTCAGTATTAGAGACAGCAACAATGTTTTCAGATAACGCGGCGGCGCGAGCTGGCGAAACAATATATCCGTCAGGATGGCCGGACCAAATGAGACATACAAATTGAAATTGAAAAATGAAATTGTGCTCATTATTTAATACCTATTTTCTACTATTTAGTACCTATATTGACATATTTTCTACCTTTGCGCTAACGGAAATATTAAAGAAATAAAGTGCTGACGATACGCTTTTGCAGGCGCTTAGGGTCGTATTCCAGAACTCTACTCAATGCTCAAGTCAGGATTTGAGTGTGATTTCAAGCACTCGAAATACGACCCTATTGGCAAAGACTTGAGTATGATTTCTAGTGCTTTAAATCATACTCCAAGTCCTAACTTGAGCATTGAGTAGAGTTCTGGAATATGACCCTTAGAACGTTTCTGGCATCTTTGCAAGCAATATTTTACATTATAACAATTATTATATTGAATTCACTATTACAAATGTTAATTCCATTTGTAGGTATTAAGGATTGCGAACAAATTATAATCAGTTAGTTTATCTCCTCCATGTAATTGCTTTATAAATGTCTTTTTAGAAGATACCTTTTGCAAAGGCGTTTTATTATTTTTGTAAATAACTTTTTATAGAAGCTTCATAAAATAGTGAAAAAAAGTATGTTTAGGTAGAAATTAGGTAGTAGAGTTATATAAAAAAAGTAAATTATATACTGCCATAACCATGAAAAACCTATAGTACCACTTTATTTCTTTAATATTTCCGTTAGCACAAAGGTAGAAAATATGTCAATAAAAGAGCTAAAAATAGGTAGTAAAATAATGAGCACAGATTGATTTGTACATTTCGTTTGGTCCAGATATCCTGACGGACACTAACCGGTCCTCTTACATAACAAATATTAATAACGTTGCAGTTATTTAAACGTTCCGGCAACGATCTCATAATTCGGTTGAACATCGAGCTGGTGGAATCGCTGTGCGGCTTCCAGAAGGTCATTCACACTCTTGATGATAGAGACATTGTCATCACAGTGCTGCCCGGGGAGGTCACCAAGCATGGAGAGGTCAAATGTGTGCTTAGTGAAGGTTAGACTTCTTTATTTTTGTCATGCAGTTTAGACATTAATCCGTTAGTAAAAAATATCTTCGAAGTAACGAGTTTACATAAAATAAAAATTGTTGTTTATAAAATAACAAAGTAAACTTTTTGAAGCTGTTTGATATCATTTCTTCTTTCCCTTGTATGCTAAAGTCAAGAATGTGCGCAGGTATGCCGATGTACAAGAACCCGTTCGAAAAAGGCCAGCTGATCATACAGTTCCTAGTTAACTTCCCAGCCCGTATTCCGCCTGAAGTCATTCCTGCCCTGGAGAATTGTCTGCCGCCCAGGCCTAGAGTAAGTATATTTGTGATTACTGCTGGCGTATTTCACTAAGTTACAAGTATAATTTCACTCGCAAAGTACAATAACGAAAGTAAGTTATTTTTCTTTTCTTTTTTTAATTTATTGTGGTTGCTTTATTTGTAACTTTGGGTTTTCCTTATTTTATTATGTCTATTTGTGTACCTTCATTACTTATAAGTTATTTACTGCTATTGATACGTCGAGTCAGTGCATTAATTTTTTGATAGGTATTATTAGTGGAAGTTGTAATAAATCAGTCAATTGGGCAGACGTAAAGCGTTTTTACTCTTTACTAAATTCTGCTTGACTATAAGTTACTAACTCTTATAGCAAAGTATTTATAAAATACAAATGGTTTCGCACAAGAAAAATTGCGACTTAAATTGAGTTGCGCTTATTTCATTACAAGTTTATTATGATGATTATCGTTATGAATCAATAGATAACAGAAAAAAAAGAATGCAAGAATAATGTCGAGATTAAATCGGTGTAATAAAAGTTTTCAGTTTTTGTACGAGGTAAGGTGGCTTACGTAGTTTTGTCGCGAATTGAAAACCATTGTAGACGATTATGGTGTATAATATAAAAAAAGCCTGACGGATCGGCTTTTCAAGCAACGAGCCCCGTGGCGACGACGAGCGGCAGTGACGTTCGCCTCTTCGTTGCAGATCGAGATCCCCGAGCTGGCCGAGGAGTGCCAGCTGGTGGACCTGGACCCCGAGCAGGAGACACGGCGCCGGCGCCAGCACGCGGGCCCGGCTTACGACGAGGACGACGACCACCCGGGCATGAACCGCGTGCAGTGCGCCACCAGCTAATCGCCGCGGCCGGGACTGACTCCTTCGATTCTCCGTTTCTACTCGCCTTTTATTTACTTGTACCGCTTATTTCGGACCTTGCAGGCGCGGCTGCGGCCGCTGACGTGTCTCTGCAATATTCTTTTGCTCGCAGTGGCCGCATCTGCGTCGAGTTGTTCTACGTTTATTGACGCTGTAACTGTTCCGATCTAACGTAATAACCGTCGGTGAAAACGATTATGTTTGCCTCATTGCGAGTTACGTTTTTATTAGAGTTGATAGTTCCGACGATTAGAGGAATCTTGAGATTTCTCTCGATTTACTTTGCTGCGGAACGTAATGGAAGGCGAATTTTTGTAAGGAAATAGTGCATAGCGTAATCAACTTGTGCTCATTTGCGTAAGACTGCTTACACATGGCGCCCACAGAGTTGCGGCGTCATACCGCAGCAACAGCGAGCGACAACAGCCCATGGGGCACGATCAACTAAAATCGTACATTAGTAGACAATTGCGGCAGCCCTCGCCGCGGTGCGTGTATGAAACTGTTTAAACAAATGCACGCGCGACTACAACACCCTTGCTTGTTACGGCGCAGTGGGTAACCACCCCAATGTACAAAGTATGTACCCATTCCAAAAAGGGGAATTCTCGCGCAGTCTCGGGAATTCCCGTAGCTACTGTCTCGTATCTAGTTTGTATACATCATCATTAACCCATTTATACGTCACACTGCTGGGCACTGGTCTCCTCTCGTCCGTCACGCTGGCCCAATGCGGACTTCACACGTTTTCCGAGGGTTGTGGACCTTCGACACGGAAGTTTTCCTTCATAGTTTGTATACATACTGATGGATAATTTTCCGAAAAATTGGAATAATATAATTCGAGTGCGCATATTTTTTATATGCGCGCCCGTTTTTATTTCCGAAAAACATTTTTCAAAAGAAGCCATCATGATGGCTAGTAACATATATGACTGGTGTTTTCCTCGTGACGCCGAAGCCCTTGCCGTCCCACAAATGCGCAATTCCTGATACTCTCGTTGGCAATCTTCCTGCCAAACTGGGTAAATGTTACAGTAAAATCCAGGCTGATCTACCCTCTAAACCGTGGTTCTTCAATAGGAAATCGATTCCGAAAAATATTACCTCCGCAATTATTCGCCTACTCTTAGCTCACATATGTACTCTTGCAGTCTTGGCTAAGATCCGTGTTCGAGACCACTCCCTGTGCGAGTGTGGTTTGGCAGTAAGCAACCTCGAGCACCTGCATTTGACCGTAACGATATCGTCACTCCTCTGTACGATGTCCTAATAATATCAACTTGCTCCTAACGTTAGTTCACTCTCCCTTTCTGTATGACCCATGTAAATTTATTTAAAAAATACAATTCGTTTCTGTAATAGTCTGTGTAAGTTCCCTGTTGTTGTAGATTCTCCTCAGTGAATTCGGTCGAAATTTTGTGTAAAAAACTCATGTGTTCCTTAACTTGACATTGGTGGTATAATCAATGGTGCTAAAACATTATAAAGAAAATGGAAATTTTTCCGTGATCCAAAATTATTATACTACAAGTTCAATATGCTATGTACAAAAAAACCCCTTCCATGTCCGCGGCAATGTAACATGAGCCTTAGATGAGCGCGAAATCCTGACCTCATCCCTCCACAGTGTTAGGTGCCGAGTGGAAGGGTTTGTATACTTTTATTGACTGAGACAAATATGTTTTATCACCTGTCATTGAGTTTCAGACTAGTAAGTTGTCACTATGGAAAAATAAGCAATCATAGTATGTTAAATTTCAAATAGGCATTCCTAGGTCCTTTGGTAAATAGGGTAAAAATGTAGCGTTAACTTTATAATTATTCTGTGATTTTTGTTTTTCTTAGTAATTTATATGCTAGTAAGTTCCAATAATATACTTCAAAGGTCTGTTTGCATATTTAAATTTTTGAACACCAGGTTTCTATTTTATTGTGTTATGATATAATGCATTTGATTTGTAATGATTTCAACTGGTAAGAAATGAAATACACTGTGAAAGCTTTAATGTCATCCACTTGCAGATATAAAATTTGGATTATGTATACCTACAATACACAGTTTTGTCTCATACTGAGTTTTTTTTTTCAACTACACCTTTCATTGCAAATGAAAATAAATCTCTTTAAATAATAATTTATTAATAATTCTTATAATGTTTAAGTCTATACAGAAAAGCACTTCCTTTATTATTACCCAGAGCCATGAACCCACTATTGGGTGAGAAGCTGACCTTGTCAACTTGGTACAGATTTGAACTTTGCTTGGGGAAGTTCGAGAACACATGATAGGAAGGAATGTGGACCAGCTTCACAGCATTGGGATAGTATCCAGATGACATAGCCAGTATTTCAGATGTAGAATTGAATTGAAGACTGGTAATCTTGGTTCTCAGGTTTGAAATGCTTTTCAATGGTAGTGGATCAGTTGTAGTTAATTTGGAGGTTTCATAGACATTCACAATGCCTTCACCACTGCCTGTTGCTAACAGCCTCCCACACTGACTTGCAGTAATACAAGAAGCAGTTACACAACCATTGTCATAGAGTTTTTTAACCACCCTAAATGTTGCCAAGTCCCATATGGTTACTTCTCCTTGAGTACCATAGCAATAGAGCTGCTTATTGTCATGACTGAACGCAACTGATTCAGTTTTAGTGTTGTTCTTTAGTGACCGTAAAAGTTCTCTAGATACCGTAGATATCAAGTATACTTCATCATAACCTATCGTTGCAGCAATAAACTGTCCATCATTTGATAATTGGAATATGCTTGGTTTTTTCACCACCTGTGGCAATTGCACCAGTTTTGGCTCAGCTTTAACTAGATTGTATATGCAGTAGTTGTGGTTTACTTTAGACGAGATGAACACTTCTGATCCATCAGGGGTAAAATGTGCTGCAGACACTTTGAATTTCTTCAATTTAAAACTGTGAAGCTTGTTGTTTACATCACCACCAATGGAGAACAATGAAATTACACCTGATTGACCTGCTACCAAGCTTACACTAACTTTAGGATGAAATTCGACACAAGATATAATAGGCCCTTCATTACCAGTCTCAGAATTAATCTTAGGAAATCTTTTTATATCCAGAATGTCTTTTCGGAGATTTGTTGATTTCTTTCTCTGCAAGTGTCCTACTGTTCTGATGATATCATCGTCGTCTTCAAGCTTTTGTTTCTTACCGAGTTTGGCCCAGTGAGGTGTTCCAATGAGATTTTCATACTTTTGCCTAAGTTTCTCTGAATATGCAGCTTTGTTTGTGACATTTGGCACGATATTCGAGTGGAATTCTTCATCGTCATCATCTCTCCAAGCGGGCTTAGTATCAACATCTGGCTCGAGCTGCTCTAAACTTCGTAACTTCTCCACAATGTTTTTAGATTTATTAAAAAGCAAATTAGATAACCTGGAAAGTAATCAATAAATTACTCAAATGGGACTCGCAAAGTGCTCAAAACGTTCTATACGTTTAACGTTTTCGAATATTTGGAAGAACAGCTCTTACAAGTAACCTCTTTCAACGTTACAGTACTTTAATTCATCCATGTTAAAACAAACCTTGACTCTTCTCCATCAATATCAGGAACTTTCCTTTTCATTTTTATAATGTTTATATGAAAAAATTATTAATGAATTACAATAAACGGCACATGCACTTTTCGTCAAAAACGTTGAAAAGCAATGAAAATAATGAAAGGAATGAGTGAATGAAAACTGTCATTTTTTTTCTTATCGTTTGACATTATGGCGTCCAGTCTTTGGGCATACACTTTTTTTTTAATTTATTTCTGGCCATGGAAACCAAGTCCTTCAGCCGAAAACATAAACGTTTAATTATATTTTTGTAAATATAGCCGCTACAAAGAGGATAGGCAATTTGAGGCGGCGTGCTTGGATTAACTCGGGATTCCTTAGAACGGGCCGATACGGGTATTTTAGTTCGAGATGCGTATAATTTCGCGTTTTAATCTTCGATTAAGGCACAATGGCACTATCCTATTCCACCATTGACTTACAAATAAATGGACGACGGGTCTAATACAAAAACCACGAAAAAAATGTCCCAAGTCAACCTATTCGAAATTTAAATTGTAATGTCATCGCAGTATCGCGCTGTCAGTCGAACAAATGAAGACTAAAGCGGAGTTTGGCGCTCTGTATACGATTTTAGCGCCTTACAAGTGCGAACACTTTTTAGCGCGGACCCGACGTCCATATAATTGTAAGTCAATGTATTCCACTTTAAACTAGATTTCACAAAATAATTGAAAGTCAAGATAAAAACGACACTTTTCCCTCCAAAAGGCCCAGAGCGAATCTCCAAAGAGAATTTAAGCACCGAATCTCTTGGGCATACGCAATTTCATTGGGTTGCCAATTTTTGGTGATTCTCCTGCTCTAAGTTCTTTCAAATAAATCTGTAAAGACAGGTGTCTTCATTCCCAGAAAATCTGGACAAAAATAAAAACAACGTCGCAGAGATTATTTATTGTCGTGGAACTATGATGTGGGATTTTAGATATTAATAGGAAACTAAAAAACGGGGAAAGGAAATTGCGGAACAAAAATAAAAGCGAACGTAATTTTGGAAAGATGATCGACAGGATAGTATAAACTTAACAAAATTGTCTATGCATTGTCGATGCATTTCATTTTTTTTAAATAGCAACACTAAGTCGATAAAACAGTTTCAATAGAATCAAAAAGAGTCAACAGATGATGCTATAATCAACCGTGTTGTCAGCGTAGATTGTCATAGAATCTTTTTTCTCTTTTGCTCTTTACAAATTTAATGCAAAAGCGAGAGGTCATTCGTTCATCTATCTATCCATGTTCTTTCATTCGTTATTCGCAGTGTTTCGCTTCGTAAGCATTTAGAGTTTTTAGCTTGCTAGGACTGTTTTCTTATTTTATCAGTGTTTCCTGTGGTTTCACAGTTGTTAATTAACAAAAACTTGCCCCGTGAAAGTTTACAGTGGTATCCACAAAATGAAATGAAGTGAAATAGTTTTTTGTTCGGTGACCTTTTTACATCCTCGGAAGTGTTTGTGTCAAACGAGAGCATAAAAGAATACAGTAGTCGTGAAAAAAAACACAGTTCCACTAGTTTATTGGGAGATGCCATAAAGTTTACAATGGGGCCGAAAAGGGCTCCGCCATAAAACTACAAACAACTCGGATCCTCATAAAACCATAAGCGATTCATGACACCTCAACAAAAAACGCGGCCCGTCGAGGATGGTGCAGCGAGGAGGCATCAGAGACGGGCGGTCTCGCGATGATCGCAGCGACAGCGATGGTCGGAGCCCCGCTCGGTCAGGTCCGTGCGTCGCCCCTTGCCGCGCGGGCAGCTGCAGGCTCAGGTGAGCAGCCGGCCGCTGAGGGGGATGGTGCGCCATGTCCGGCAAGCCCCCCAGTGTGGCGCCGCGAGCGGGCGCGCCGCGCGTGCTCGTGTACGTGGCGGACCCGCGCCAGCTAGACGCCGGCGCCGCGGCCGAGCCGCCGCCTCTGCCGCCGCAGCCTCTGGACCAGCTCTACTTTCACGATAACGTGCCCCACCATCTGCCCAGGCCCAGAAACGTTTACCGGGCTCAGGCCGATCTGCCCGACCTGAGGAACCCTCCCAATGCAATCTATTACAAGTCACTGGCTGAAAACGACAACAAAGTTGGTGGTTATGGTGTGGCCGATAATGATTTGGTGCAAAGAACAGAGTTCTTTCAGGTTAACCAACAGTTTCTCAAAGAAGCAGGTTTAAAAATTGAAGAAGGTAAAGTGAGTGACCGGCCAAATGGTGGGAAAAGAGAGTGCGTCAGCATAAATGGTGCAGAATTTGGGGGCATAGAAGGTCAGTACATGTCCCCTGCAGAAGCAGGAGAGCTAGTGACATATCAAACAAGATGTTCAGGGCCCAGTGCTGATATTATGCCACCCATGCAATCAGTAGCAATACGTCAAAACCCAAACCAGTTTGATGCATGTGCAGTGCAGAGTGATGGAACAATCCGTGGTGATAGGGATCTGTTGGTGGGTAAAAATTATGTGAACTATCAAATTCTAGAACAGAGTGTATCTCACCAGTCTATCGTGAATCAGAGTATAAGTATACTGAATCAGCAAGTGGGAGTGAGTAGGGGTGTGGTGAATGAAGGTGACAGTGGTGCGCCACTGATGCTAGCAGTGCTGCCTACGCAGCCCAATGAAGCTGATCCTTGCACTCGGACACAAAGTGAACTACTGACTATAACAGTACCCTTAGGTTGGAGAAGAATCATTACTGGGACATCTGTTATCTATGTTAGGTATGTGTGTCTTAATTTCTTAATATTTCTGTGCCTAATGTGATTTTACAACAAGAAATTCAAACATCTTCATTAGTATACATTTGCTACCATCATGTTACAGTATTACTTAATAGCAAATGCCTTTCTTTTACTGTAATATTATTATGATGCGTCTAATTTTTAACAAAATGTCCTATTGTCTACACCAATACTGCCTTATAAACAGGATCTGCTTAGGATGACTTAGTCTGAAATTGAGTTTCAAAATAGCAAAGACTAATATAAAGAATAGTAATTTTTCTTAAATGAATTTTTAAGATCCTTGTAGTACATTTTATGTAAAAATAATTATTTAAATTCATAATAACTATTACAGTAAGTTAGTTCCCAATAAGAAAATTGTCATTAGACCTTACAATCAGATATGTTATTCTATTTGTTTAAGTTATTTGTTTTTGGGTTGGATTATTTGGTAATAATAAACACAGAAAATATTTACGAGGTAAAGAAGTACGAGACGTACACGGCGATCGAGCGGTAAAGCTAAATCAGTCCGGCGCAAGTGGCCAAACCAGTCGGACAGCTGGTCGCAGCCGTAGACGCAGCCCGCCACCCGCGCCCGCGCTGCCGCGCAGTCGCGCTGCACGCCAGATATGCGCTGTCGAACCTAGCTCGCTGCAACCTCCGTGTCCAATCATTTTTAGATATTGTGTCGCAGGTATATTGGTAGGCTAACAGACCATTGATAATCTGGTTCAATTCTCACTAAAGTTTATTTACTTAGATTTCATCCATTGTATGCAATTGCAATTTTATCCAATTTCTGGTCATTATGAACAGAACTAGAGACTGCATTACAATGCAAAAGATTGTGTGTGAGCTACAGCTTATTTCAGGAGTATCTTGTTTTAAAGATATAATTAATTGTTGTGCTTAACAACCAGCCTACCTACAACAGGCGCAACAAATTGCGCGGTATCTGCCCATTACAATACTAATTTACTCCTCCTTAACAAGTTATTGTTGAATCTCGTTTAAGAGAGTGGCTTTATCGCGTCGTTTAGCCGTAACTAACGGCGGCGTGAGGCGAGCTGGGGAGATGCCATTGTGGCCGCCTGTACTCATTACCCGGCTCTTATCTGTCATTGGCAGCACAATGCCTAAACCGAACAATACTGTAGCTCACGCACCTTGCACGGTAATGGCTTTTTGCTATTATACACCTCCGTTCTGTGCGCCACTAAATGAACTTTCTTCGTCGCTGTGTGTGTCGTAATTTTAATTTATTCCGAGAATCTCGCTGCAATATGGGAGGTCAGCCATTTGGACAGGTTTATGTCCACATTTTAATAGGTAGTCTTATCTTAATATCTTAATTTTGTAATAAACAATTTGAAAGAACAGTGGAGACGGTATTTATGAGTAATGTCTTGCGAGTTACATAAGTGTGTGTGCTGCAGGCTGCTTGATCCAGCTGAACGGAGTTTATTATGGCATAAAGCTCATCCTTTGTCATATTATTTATGGGGCACAGCTGACCGACCATAAAAGAGTAGGATGGCACTCGCCGTTTGGCTATTGATGCGGAACCTACCACTGACTGATTTACGGCTTTCATCTATCGCAGCCGACATGCTGTTGGATTTCTCTGGCCTCCTTTGTGATGAGTTGCACAATGTCGGATCTTCGCAGTACAGCGTTTGTATAGGCCGTTGTCGATGCTAGGGGCGGCACCCGGTGATCCGATTTTCAATTCGTTCCGGCTTTCTTACGGGCTCGACAATGGCACGTAGAACATAGAGCTCGCCGCCAGTCGCCACCCGCCGCGCTCGATGCCGTTCCTCATTGATTTCTTGGCGACACTTAGATCTTGAAAATATCGAATCTTATTTTGAATTGGTAGTTTAATTAGGTATCAGTTACACTGATTTTAATTGTTGCTGACTTTCTTATTGCTGACTAGAACACCTCTTTGTCCAGTCGTGAGAGAGTAAAATGGTAAAGCTTCCATTGTGTGACGCTATTTTATTGAACCTTATTATTTGACAAACTTTTACTTAACTGCTTATTATCAAGCTCCACGTGCCATGAATTGACAAACTTTAAAATTCCTTAGCTATCTCAATACTGTCTATGGGTCGTAAAAGATTCACAAAAGGGCAGAATACTTCTTTGTTTCTTTGCAAGGTTTTGTTCTTTAGAAAGAAATATGAACTGTACCTGGGGTCGGGCAGTCCGTAAAACTTTACAATGTCCCTCCTAATTTGAGATTTACAGCTCCGGCCGTGATGAATGGCCATTGTGAAATACAATATTGCGGGCGCGATGAAACAAAACCTAACACCGACTTTGGCTAAATGAAATAGCCACAAACGTTTATTTATAGAATTTAATAATTCTAAGCGACCATCTGTGCATTGTGCGCTTGTGCGTACTGCGTGAATAGCGTTTCATGAATCGTATTCGCCGCAAGTAATTAAAAATACATTAACTAAATTGTTTTCATTTAACGCGTAATGTATATGTTACGCTTTCTTTGATTAAACGGAAATATCTTTAACAATGTGTTAATAATGTAGATAAAATAGATACGACAGTTTATGGTTTAGGGTTTGTTAGGGATCTACAAGTGGTAGTAAAAAGAGGGCCATTTCAGGCCACTTATGCCTTTTAAGGTATCCGAGCTCGGGCCGGCCGCGGGCAAACAAAGGTGGCAATTAAATTCTTTAACACTTGCTTATTAGTCCGTCGTTTGGGGTACAAACCGCGCGCTGTCAGCTGCCACTTAAGACACGTAGCTATACTGCATACGTCGGGGCCCTGTGTTATTCGACGTCTTGATTTTTATTGAAAGAATTTATATTTGCAATGCTCTTTGCTATATGAAAGGATACGCTCTTATGATTTTCGATATCAACTAGTTTTGTTCCGATGCCATTTGTCGTTAAACAAAATTATATATAATTGCTGAAGCCTATTTAGTTCTTTCAAAAACATAAAGACGTCAAACTTGGAATCCAAACAGCTGCACGAAGTAAACAAATATCTCGTATGTTAACGCGCAAGGTGATACGCGTTAGCCTTAACGATTTTCTTAATTAATCGGCTCCTGAGACGCGGACAACAATAGCGCCGAAAGGCATGATCCTGAGCGCGTTGACCTCCGCACGGCCGAGACACGGCCGCGGCTCGGACGCGGAAATAATATGGATTACGTAAGCCGTGTCGAACATTTTTTATTGCTCCATTAATGAGGCACCGCGCCGCCGCCGCTGGGTGGAGAGCAGTCTCACTATAACAAATAAACCTATGTAACCACCATCATACGCCCATTACTCTACCTGCCGTTAATTGTCAGACTAAATCTGGATTGTTTTGCGAAACTTACGGTCTATTTACATTTCTCTGTGTTTTGCTCACCTGTTCACGTTGATGCAAACGTAACCTTCACTAAATTGCTGGTATACAATCGCTAATGATTATTTATAGCAGTGTCGTTGCGAAGACACGTGACGTGAATTACAATTGACATGTTTATAACGAGAAAGCTTATTTAGTTTGCGTGTGGAGAAGTCGTTTATCTCGGCTCGTTTTTAACAAAGGCTGATAAATAACCGCGAGACGGGGTGAGTACTCGTAACCCTTGCGAGTACCGGATGCGCAGCTCACATGGGCTGCAGACGTCCGCGGCGACACGAAACGTGTTCTCGATAGTTCCCACAGAAGCGCAGGGGACCGAGTCAAGGTTGCAGTGCGAATGTAACAAAAACTGAATAGCTAATGCGTTGAAAAACTAGTCGTTACACGGAGTGAGGAGAATTTATTCACTTAGCGGTGCGGGCTCGAGCGCTCGGATACTCGGCCCCGGAGAGGCGAGCGGCTGTGGCGGGCGGCAGGTGTTGCGCTAACCTGCACCGTCAACTTGACTGGACAACATTTTATTCAACTCTTAAACGGCTAGTTTGTTCTCTGTCCCCGTAGATCTGATTGCGTTGTATATGGAAAGGTTTGCACTGAAAACGGTCTATCAAGAGCACTTGCAACGAAGGCGGCTTAGATCGTCGTCAGTCTGTCGATAAACAAGCCGGATAGGCCAACAACAGAAGTTGTATTTAAGTGGTGTCGTAATAATTGCTTTGCAAAGGCAGGACTGCCAAAGTAAAACAAACACCTCGAGCAGCGTACGCGCACAAAGTAGCACACATTATCTGCTGTAATTAATTGATCGGACAAGTTTCAAACGGGTTTATGGCTGAATAACCTCAACTGGTTTTTGTATTGGTAATAAAAATGTACATGAGGCACCTATTTAAGTCCGGTTGGCAATTTAAGTGTTCTCCGTTCAATATGTTAAACAAATACAATTTTCAAGTACATTTTTAGAGCGCATTCGCAACACACGAACGCAATCTAGCATTAGGTTTTGTTTCTCGACTCATATTTAATAGATTGGAATATGAAACATATAGCGTATTGTCAAAATATGACCTTTCTTTTTATCATGGCCTTCGTGCAGCCAATAGAAGGCTGGCGAATTGTTGCCGGTGCGCCGGCGCAGCCGCGGCGCTCGCGTGCTGCGCTGCGCTGCGCGGCCGTTAACCTGCCTCTTACATCCACTCGTCGCTTAACATACGCTTATCTTCAACACAACTAGCCATCTTGTCTGTGTTTGTTTCACATAATATTGAAATTTGATAATTACCTCGTCGATGTTAAGCCCAATCCCATTAGATCGATTAATCCTGATTTATGTTGGATTATGGATGTCAGTTTTTAGATAATTCGCAACTACTTGCCAAATGCATTGCATTGACAATTTGTGTTTTCGTGAGTGAGAATCAATTTATTCATAGTCTTATAATTTTGTTCTTTTTATGAATATGCAATTTGTCCAATAATAATTGCGTGGGCTCGAGAAGGAGCACAAAAAGTGTGATCCATCGCAACAGGAATTGAAACATCTGGCAATTGATGTTTCAGCGAAACAATGACGTGGGTCGCGGAATCCTTTGAGCGGCGGCGAGTGACGGCGGCGGGCTAACAGTGTCCTTTATCGAACGACCCCGACCCACATCAACCTCGTTCCCCTCACATGAATAAATAAAAGCTCAATTTGTAGCTCGCGCGCTTAACACGCATCGATATACACGTCGTCCGAACAATATGAACTCCCCTGGTTGCCTTCCGACTTCACTAAACGGAGCACTCCCAACTTTCAAAGGAGGCCAACTATTTTGGTTGTCAACGGGTTATGTAAAACCAATCGCGCCCAAAAGCCGGCCGCTCTTGTTTAACTCTTTATTGAATCGAGTGGGGAGCGCGACGGTCTCATTATATGTGTATCACGAATACAATTTGTTTATGGTACGTATTGTGGCAACAGCTATGAAAACTTCGTCGGTAGTTAAGACACCGGACTCTCCTTACTATCTCACGTACCTAGTAAATGGGTCATGGAAAAAAAATCATTTTGAAAAAATCATATTAAATTCAGAAAAATAAATATTATCCGGATATTTTTCCAATATTTTTCCTTTAATTTTTCCATATTTGACGTTGATACCTGTCAAAAGTTAAAGTTACTGAACGAAAACGATGGAGCCTTTACAAAGGATTTTTTCGCTGTTGTGAAATCATAAATCAAATCTAGTTTTTCTCTAAGTAGCTATTAGCTATACAAGTTTATTTTATAATTCATGCTAAATAAAACTTCAAAAGATATTTCTAAACGCAGAACATAATATGAGCCTTAGAAATTATATTTTTCCAATTTTTCGCGAAAAATTGTCACTATTTGAAATTTTTCGGAAAATTACCCAACATTAATCTCACGGTCCAGGTTTCGTTCTTATTTAAATTTTATTTATTTATAAATATGAAACCTTACACTACCGTCACAAGAAAACTTAATGCGATAGTGCAGCAACTCATAGGTAAGTATATTGAGTCTTGAAACTGTAACTGATTAAATATAAGTATACTATTTAATTAAATATAGCATAATAAAAATAATGCGACTCTGTGGTATTCGTTCACTCCACCCATTTGTTGAACCTGATGACTAGAACGTGTTTAATATTTTTGACATTGACTAAGCTAACATATAGGAAATTGACGTTGAATATTTAAAATGACGCGAGGGTGCACCGCCAACGCCGATCACGGTTGGAAGGGAAGTTTTGAGGCGGTATCCAATTTCTGTGTTTACCCCACACGGCTCATTTTGTTAAAAGGGGGTTAGGTGATCCGAGCCGGCTCGTTTCTAAGGGTAAACAATTCACCGCCGTCCTCATTCACTCGTCGACATATGTTCGGCAAATAGACGTTTATTGGTTACACTTGTTTGTTTATTAAAGCTAATGTTACAAATGTCAATGATTTTGTAGAGTCCCGCTTGCGCGATGGGGGCACTTAAAGCCGTATCAACAAATTGACTATCGGTTTTGTCTGTTTAGTAATGGGCTTATTGAAACGTATCACGCAAGTTGAATCAACTCAGGGAAAGCAAAAGTTGGTAACCGATATGAAGACGTTTATGTAAGGGAGTGCTCATTATTATGTAAGGTATGTTTTGCTAAACGAGCAAAGCCGCAATTGTTGTTTAAATTGTGCTCCTGTTGGTTATTGCAATTTGTGGTAGAGAAGCTCGCGGCGCGATGTCGTGCCGGGCTGTGACGTGACTCACTGAGGGAAACCCTTCCGTGACTCAACTTGTTATCGCCACCGTAGTATCGGTGCTCACCCCGTCACCCGCCAGCCCGCTCGCTGCCCGCTGGTCGCCAGCCCGCCGGCCGGCGGTCGCGCTGATAACGTTGTCACTTGTTGTTACATTATTGACTTTAAAGAAACGGCTAGTTTACGCGTGCGCTCGTTATGTAAGCCGGTGATCGATCACGTACGTCACTCGCTCATACGGTGTTTATTAGTTATGCGTTTGTGAGTATTAATATGAACGACGTTTCTCAATAGAACAAACTGTCGTCGTGTTGTACGGCCGGCGCTGGCTCCGCGCCAGAACTTTTCACCCATTATACTCGTACTATGCCCCGCTGCAATCACAAAGGAAATGAGATCAATCAGTTTAGGTGGCCGGAGCCGGCACCGCCGCTCTCTAACATTTCAGTTGAGCACTAACGTTGTTCCGATCCTGTCTAGGTAATTGATTTATTGAGAGGCAGATCTCGTCCTAACTGAACTAAGAAAAACACGGGTGAGTGGAAATTCTGGTTCATAATTTAACGCCTGTCTTCTAACGTTAAGTATGAAAATCGAGAGGAGCGACGGTGAGACGAAACATAGACATAAGAATAATTATGATTAAAAATAGCATTAATTCACGGAATCGTTTGTTTGTTTAATCTCGCAAAAAGCGTGTACAAAAACTCGTATGGAGCTAAAATCTTGTCGTTATTTTTTGCTGCATTGCGCAGTCGATTGACAATGAGGATAAAGTCGCGATAAATGCAAGCTCGCTGATTACTCACATACTTCAAGGCTAACGCGAAGGATCTATGCATAGGTAGCTTGCTACAGTCGTGCTTTTATATTTCACGGAACGGAATGACACATTGCTTCCCGTCATTGGACAACTATGCTGTTGCCAAATGACTAATTCGGCGTCCGCGGCTCTTGGGTAGCTATGTTTTCGATTCCTTTCAATTAGCTAGTAACTTGATCGAGGACCGCGAACCAATTTGGCCGTGAGCCAGGTTGACAGGCTACATCAGCAGTTGGTCTTGGTCGCGTGACGAAGGGCCTGTCAACCCTGCTCCGGTCCCGCAACCGCAAGCCGCTCTAATGCGACATTTATAACATCGACCTCAGCCGAAAGCTTCTTATTTGTTATCATCGCAAGTAGACCATTAATCAGCCCTTTAATTGTAGCGGAAAATGCATGTCAGTGGGTATTTAATTAACGGTATTCATCCATTAGTTCCAAGAGCGTTCAGAGGCAATAAATAACCAGCACTTAGCTTATTCAACGGCGGTAGTCGGATGGTTACGTGTGCAAGGTGCGAAAGAGTTTGCGTGTTGAGTAATTACTATAGGCAGCTGTCTACGTGGCGCGCACCGTGTACGTGCGCTAGTGCCCTATGCGGCGGTTCCCCCAAACGTCACATGCTATTGCAAAAAAGCGAATTTCACCACAGAGTCGCCGCTCCGCCGCGAACACCCCTTTTATATGGCCGAAGCCGCAGGTCCAAGCATGAATAAAAAAGTGAGTAAACAAAAATCTTTTATGCGGTCGCGGCTTACCTTTACCGAGTGTACCAGACCGTGAACAATCACCGTGAATTATCATGTGGAGCGTTTATGAAAGAGGCTGTTTGTAAAGCGAATGAGAGGTGTAATAATGCCAGCAAGGCATGCTCTGTGCTGTCGTCGTAAAACGGATTGTGTTGTTTGCAAATTGTTCTTAATAGCCCATTAGGGCATGTTGCATGGATATTACCGTACTTTAAACGACACGCGCTGCGCGGATTGCAAGACGGACTTGAAATGTGATGTCTTCCACAATACGCGGCGTTTCAAGTGGTTACAGCGAGTGCTTGTTCAGTAACGCCAGTCTTAGGCAAAGTTGATTTACTTCATTGACAAATGAAAGGTCGATGCTCTGTTTCCTGATTGCGTTTAAGCAGCGCCATTGAGGTGCAGCGACGTGAAGTAATGGGGTCTAGAAATTAAATATCCATTGACCGGGGGCAGTCAGTTAGCCGCGTGATTAGACCGCTCTGCTTTCTGTGCGCCGCGGCCGCCAGCCGCCGGCCGAGCACCGGGCGTGGAGCGCTTACGCTTGACTAGAAGCTTTTGCATCGCCCGTTTTACAGCAAATATGCTCAATCGTTTACACGAGTCACCGCTTCTCTCCCCTGTGAGCCTGGTACTCAGTCAACGAAGAGTTTTTTTATTACTCTTCCATAACATCGTACGTGTAGCCATAAATAGTCATTACGTTCATAGACTGACCTCCAATTATTTCACTATGTGAATTATAGGTAAGCTAACCACATGTTGGATTATTACTAACATATGTACCGTTTGTGTGATATACTCATGTTTCGTACACAGAACTTTTATTGAGTAGGTAATTGTAGAGTCGACATTATCTCCTACGTGATAAACGCGGAGGTTTATTCTTTTTATTCTTTACAGAGTCTTTTGTTATAACGCCTGCCAAGCGCGGAACTCGAGTTTCTGCTGAAATTCCTCATTGGAATGAAGTAAAAAAAAAGATGACAACAATTTGTTTCAGCCCGAGTGGTACGGCGCTAAGCAACCTGCCACAACTGAGGGAGTACCTGCAGACCACCGGCACCTGCAAATGCGGGCTGCCCTGTCCACTGCGACCCGAAACCGCATTCAGCTTCGATATTAAGGTGAGCCCATAATTTTGACTGTCATAAGCCTGTGTAATAATTGCAAAAAGTAATGAGCTGTGTTTGAGAAAGTTAAGATTTCCAATAGCCACATTCTGTATGCCGGTGGTGCTTCTCCTTTAGTTTTTCGTCGGTCTGATCCCTTATCAGCCGACATTGTGCAATGCAGTTGACTCGTAAAAACCGCCGAGGACAGTTTCAAGTGTCCGGTGCATTCCGCCGAGTAATTCATCGACGTACAAGAATGCCCGTCAGCTGAACTTGGGCCACTTTTTCTGCTCTGGGAACGATTCGACGCCAGCGCAACCGCGCGCCCGCGGTCGGTTGCCGAGCCGCGTTAAGGCTTTTTACGTCCCATTGACGATTGCGCCGAGCGCAAATGTGTCGTTTATAACCATTTATGAATGTTTACGACGCGACTGCGACAAGAAGAGGATCCATTACGGAGACAATGTTATTGACGAAATTATATTCGTGCCTCCGCATTCATATTTTTACGGTGTGAGAATAGGTCATAAAAAATTGCACTCCATATTTGTCGCGCAGTCTAATGTTCATCAATTATGCAGCAATTTGTCATTCCTCAGAGACAGAGGAAAAAGTTGTTCAATGAAACACGTATATTTAAGACATCATCAACATTTTGCACAACCCACCGCTGGGTACGGGTCAACTTTAGGAGTAAGAAGGTTTAGCCACGGGTATTCGAACCGATCTCCCACTGAGCTACCATCGCTATCTTTATATTTATAGACATGAAATTATAATGTCGTGAATTTGAGTGAAGGGGCGAGTGTAGTGGACGAAGGCGGGCCGTGACATTAATAATTGGGCTAATTACCATGTCACTCGCTGTAGCCTTGATGGCCCGCGCGCGATAAAATACGAGTGATTTCCCCGCTTCATTAAAGGCACATAAATAAAATAAGATGTGTAGATAGAAATACATAAAATTACTTAGTCGTATATGCATAGCGGGCCTATTGGAAACAATCTGGCAGCTGCTTACCATTGTCGTTTAGGCCACAGTCATGTGCTCAATAACAATCAACCTTTGATAACTTGCTTATTCTCAGGATATTACACATTTCGTTTGCTGTTCTTAGCTGTGGATATCACAGCGACTATTGATTGAATTTATATTTCTAAAACGAAATAATACATCAAATTATGAAAACACCTACAGCTAGGCCTTATTTTGAATAAGGAGGTTATGTATTTATCCTATTTTCGTTGTATAACCACATCGGACTCTGTTCTTCGGATGAGTCGACATAGCAGCAAACAGTTTTTCTATTTCATGGTAATTATTTTTTGCAATCACTGTTACTTTCCTTTTCCATGAGTTCTAAACTTTATATAATCTTTAACTAGTCTTTCCAAATGTCAACGAATATGGCAACACCGACAAGTGAAGATGAGTGCCTTACGTAGCAGCCATTGACGTCAGCAACTGGCCTCGTGGCCCCGTGGCCCCGTGGGCGTCGCGCTATTTACTAAATTAATCCCTCATTCAAAACCATTACAGCTCGTTAATTGTAAATACGCTTTCCTCGTCCAGATTTGTCAGCAACAATAAATTATGTTGCTTGAAACACAATTCAAGTCATGGAGGAGAAGCCGTAATTCAATTTGCCCATTTGCAGGCAGTAATTAACAGAATCACGAACGTAGTCAGATGTTTTTCAAAGTCGTGAAAATGGGCGTGCCTTGATTTACAACCGTATTACATTCTAGAATCGACGACGCCTTGAAGATAACAGACACACAGCAAATTCGTCCTAAGGCCGGTAATAGATCACACACCCACGCTCGTTGCTCCACGTGTCTCGAGCTTTCTCCGGAATCAAAGTATCCACTTTCAAGCCCATTATCGTCTAACAATTATCTTTGTTATTTAGAAACAGGCGTTATTAAGAAATATTAGGTTATTAAAGCCCGTATTAGAAACTTGAGGTGTTGTTACGTTTACAAATTTTCGTTTGTGGTTTGCCGGGATTCAAGAAAAAAATTTGCCATAATAAATATTATTAAATAACATAAATAATTAATGGAACCTAGTAGGAGATCGGTTGCTTCCCAAGTGAGAGGTCGACGTGCACGTAGCAAATGGAAGGCAGTGATCTCTGCCTATCCCGACGGGACAACGGCATCAAATGTAAAGAATCTCACGTAATATGCCGAAGATGTTACAGCATTACAAATTTTTATTTAACTTTACTTGTTTGTACGTCCAGGTGGCAAGTTGCAAGTCGATTTTCGAACACTTTCCTTGTACCTGTTGCATAGTGTACGCATGTGTAGATTCGATGACAGTATGATAAATCTGATAATCTTAGCCAGGAGGTGGTAAACACCACAGGAGTTCTCAGATCGTTGTGCGTACGTCTGAGCTCGTTTTGATCAACTGAAAAAGCATTTTCTAGGTGCGCTGGAGATAAATGATGGTTTTAAACGTCTGTAAAGACTCCTCAACAGGACTTCCAGTCGGTGTACCATAATATAACAAACTTTGTTTGGGCTTGTTCTGACCAGTGGGGAGAGCAATTTTTTTTTGTTTGTATTTGATATTATTTACGACCAGCGTTCGAAGTGATAATTATCACGGTGATTATCTTGATATTTATTAAATTAATTGGAACAACAAAATACAACCGCTAGGAATGTACGGTATCGTCGTGTATTGTACATTGTGACATATGTTTGTATCAAAGACGTATTCAAATGTGTCAAATGTCAATCTAAACAAAGACTCGAACCAAATCGTTTTCCCAAAGATTTATTTTCATGTTTATTTAGTTTTCTCACTGTTTGTCATTTTTGGTCAAAAGTTAAAAGATAAAACCACGAATGTGAATGGATAATTATGGAATATACTTATGTCGGATAATTATCACATATTTATTACGTTAATTATCAGTGAAAATAAATATTTTGATAATTTCGAAAGCAGTTTACGACTAAAGTTTACAAAATCCAATGAAGTAAATATGATAGTAGTAGTAATACTAGTAGAAGAAAATAATGGTTATGCATTGTGGCATGTGATGTTTTGATTGTTGCTATGTAGTAACTACCACTCGTCGTTTATTTGGACCACTTGTTATTTACTCGTAATAAGCTTTAACATTATGTCGCGCAGTGGGAATGGCCGTCTACACGTTTAATTTAGTAGATTCGATAACAGTCAATACAAGTCTTTAAACTTCTTTCCGTAATTTCTTAAGAATTTTTTTTGTAACCTTTTAATAAAGGATTGTTTTAAAAGTGTTTTCAACGTCGTCACCTTTTTATGCGTCCTACTGTTGGGTATGGAACTGATGCGAGTTAAGGACGTCACGCGTTTTCCTAGTATCTTTCGAGGTGGAGGTTTCATCACTTTGTTTCCCTTCACAAATGTACATAACTTAGAGATTAAAGTCAAAGATATTCGAACAGTCGATCTTTCAATTAAGAGTCGATATTACCTCGGTTTGACTAATACGGTTCATTTTGCTTGGTTCGAGCGGCGCGGACTCTGGTTTTATTTCAGAATTAATTTTTTTACAAACTAAATTAAAGCTATTTGAAAAATGTATACTGTACGTGTTCTATTTAGTTTAGAAGATATAAAAAAATCATTGGTATGTGGCAGGTACCTATTGAATACAGCGGTTTTCTTGTAAAGTTTCGAGGTAACTTGGTTTTGTTTTTTTCTATCGTGAAACATTTTTAGGAACCGTGTTTTCACACCGTATACTGATCCGTGTATATCATCAATGTTACTATATATTTTTGTCAAAGTAATTGATTCAACACTTTCAATGTTGTGTGGAATCAACCAAAGCCAGTTGAGGTTGTATAACCCTTAAGGAGCAACCGTTCTCCCGCTAGCTACTACCGTTTTGGAACGTTTTCTTTTACGTATAAGAAATATGATTTCATGGCAAGGTTAAAGCGAAGAGATGAAGTAACGTGCGCACCATCCGGCGCGGCGCGGCGGCGGCGGGCGGCGGCGACAAGGGCACAGATAAGTCGTAGCAATTAAACTCATTCAACATCACTGGCAAATTGCTCGCTGCGATTGATCGTAATGAATTGTCCCATTATTTATCTAATCTAAGTCCTCGGGCCTAGGAGACCCGTGGCCAGCAGTGGGTCGTATAATCGGAGTTTGACGATATTGATTATTGTATTGTCTATCACGGCTGTTGATTTATGTATTATGGAAATGAGGCAATAAAAAAATAAACAAGTGGTGTTTAGCAGAAATGCTCTTATTGTTTCCGTAACTATGTATAGTCTGTCTTTTTTGAAGACGGAGTAAAATGACAGTTAATTACGCAAAAGTGTTACCCGCTTGCAAGCAGCTAGTGGTTGTAATTGACAAGTATTCCAACGACTATCGACTTAATGTTTGTTACGCTTACGCTATGAATAACCGAACTTTTTTCATTTATCATCTTCGATCCATTCATTATTCGTCCAACTGCTGGGCACAGGTTCAGTTGAATAGTCAAGTTTTAAAAATTCATACACTCATACACTACATTTAGAACTCTGTCTATTACAAATACAAAAAGGGGAGGCGAATATTAAAGGTTTTCAGTTTAATTCAATTATATGACATATACGAGTACATCCGCCCGTCGTTATTATTAAAATGTAATGAATGAAAATTTATTTCGATACTAATAAGCCTAGTTTTACCTACTACTAGTTTTCACAATCTATCGATAAAACTGTTGACAACAACTACATAACTATTTAAAATTTTTGAAAACTGGTAATCCAACAAATGTCATTTTATTCCGTCTTCAACAAAGACAAACTGTAGGTATTTATTTATTTATACAAGCATACAATACATACTAAAGTCCTTCGTTACGCAGAATGTGAATTTACATGGGCAGTTCAGACAGTAGCCCGCAGACTTGTGTATGTTAACATCCAGTAAACAATAACATCTTAGCGATAACAATAACAAAAATGCTTATCTTAATCTGAAAAGATATTTTTAA